CAGGGCAGGAGGGCACGGATACGGAAGGATGGCTCTCACTCACTGCTTATAGTGGTGCCCCCTTGGCTGCTTGGTTGGTCTGGCGGTGGTCTACACACACGCGTTTGTTAGCCTGTCTGTCTGTTTGGCTGTTTGGCTGCTCTGTTTGCTGGCCTTGGATCGCTCTTTGTCGGTTTTTGCACCCCTACTAGGGTGCTGTGCTTCGTCCGTCGTGTGTTTTGTTTTCGCCTGCAGTGGGTCATACATAGCACCTAGGATGGTGTGGGGCTGGCTAGGTAGGTACCCTGCAGGCCACAGAACACAACACACCATTTACCATCTTTAGCCAGCTCAGCCGAGTGTACAACAACACACGTAATTAATTAAGGGTATGGCGTCAAAGGATAGGCGCCTGTCCCCTCTCCACACTGCCAAACGACTGATCTGACTAGAAGACTGGCCGCTTCTTTCTCGTCCGTCGATTGACGTTTATTTTGGTCCTTTTATGGTCTTTTCTGATGTGTTTACAGCTGGGCGTGAGGGGCGAAAGGAGGCGGCTCGGCTCGTCAATGATAGAAGAGCCCTTTTCTAATCGATGGCTGGTGCGTGTGTGTGGGTGGGGTGTGGCCGGGGCGACAAGACATGGCGATCCATAAAGTGTCATGACAGCATCCATGTGGACCTGTGAATGTGTGTGTGTGTGTGTGTATCGGTCGAATGACTCCTGCCACCAGCCAGGCAGCCATGCGGGTGATATAGGGGCTGCAATGCATTGACTCAATCAGCACACGACGCTGAGTCACCAACGCAGCCAGACAGACAGACACCCCTGCCCAACATCCACACATACACACATACACACACACATACACACCGACCACCAACGAGTTGGAGAGAAAGAAAGGTGTCCATGCGACGCAACGCCTATTCAGCAAGGGCCACACGCACACGCACTCACACACATGTATCACTGGATAAAAAAACATCACGCCGCGCCACGCCACACAACACGACACGACACAACCCCACCGCCCATACACACACGCAGAGACAGACAGACAGACTGCCTGAGTGAGTGAAGCCCGCTGTGCCGCCTGCCCGTGTTGATGTGTGCACTTAAACACTCCATTGCTGCATTCTCGGCAGGCAGGCAGGCAGGCAGGCAGTCAGCCAGCCAGGAAGGTAGACAGCCAGGCACTAAACAATTACCTCCTCGAGAACTGAGAAGAGGCTTAAGGCACATCCATCCATCCATCCGACATCCAACAGACAGATCGACTCCATCCAAAGCTCACACACACTTATCCACCATCCAATCATCCATACGAATGAATCCTCATCCATCTCGTGCACGGATGGGGGCAAAAAATACAGGAGGGAGTACACGCCCGACTGACTCCACCAGCAGAGACCACTAGGTTCCTGTCTTCCACCCACTACTTCGTCCATCCATCCATCCATCCACCCACCCAACATCGGTGGCTGCTTCCACACGGCGAAGGCAACCGCCACCTCTCCCCGCAAACCGGCGGACAGAGACAGAGATTGCTGTCGCACTTGGAAACAGGCCACTGACGGCTGCCGACGGTCGATTCGCAGACAAGAATGTGGTCTGATATCATCCATCGCCAGCCCAGCCCCTTTCTTTGCTCACGCATGGATCGATCTATTAAAAAAGGGTGGTAGGTAGGGGAAACACAGACACACCCACACCGACACCCACGCCCAGGTTCGCAGGCAGTGGTTGCATGCCGGCCGTTGATTGAAAGTCATGAAAAGCGAGCAGACCTGGCCTGCTCTCATCCATTCATCTCATTCAACTCATTCTGATGGACGGACGATGGTGACGGTGATATGGTACAGACAAGACAGACAGACAGACAGACAGACAAGGGCACGTCAGTGCGTCAGTGAGTGAGTCAGTCAGAGCCGGCTCGGCTGTCGGTCGCACATTGACAGCAAAAAATGGTCAGTCATAAAGCATCCCATCCATCACATCACGCTGCGCTGCCAGTCAGTCAGTCAAGCCATCCGAAACCAGCCACCCATCGCCGCCACCGGCCCACCTCCCACCCCCCACCCCCTTTATCAAAACAAATCACCCGGACTCCCCGACCGAGGCGGCCAGCCAGCCAGCCAGCCATTTGGATCAAGACAGCACAGAGCCAGCTGGACACGACACGGCACGGCACGGCATCACACACGACGAGAGGTGATAAAGGCAGACAAGAGCACACAGACCGATAAGGACCAAGGCAAGGCGGCACAGATAGACAGACCAGGCAGACCACCAAGAGATATGTACCAGCACCAGCCAGAAAGCACGCAGTCTGGCCGCGAGCCTGGTGGTGGTGGTGGTGGTGGCTCGCCTCGCCGCTAGGGTTCTCCTTCCTGGTGTGGGGTGCGGGGGGACTCCATTATTTTGACCACGGTGCGATCCACCAACGCCTGCATACACACACACGTCCACACAACACAACCACCAGTCGTGACCTGATCCCTTCGTTACTGCGCTGTCTGTCTTTCTCTCTCCTCCTGACCTCGGCAGCTGACGAGAGTGAGGGTGAGGGTGACGGCTCGGGGGCGGGGGCGGTGTGATGGCGAGCCTTGTCCCTATCTCCCCGCTTCTCAAACGCCTCCAGCAGGCTCTCATACACCCTGAACCGCCCGTCAGACACCCTCCCCTGCACCTGCTGCTGCTGCTGGTGCCCACTCAAGGACGAAGGCACCTCGAGCTTCATCCGCGGATTCATGGCCGTCCGCCGGCCTGACGCCGACTTGTACGTGTCAGGGCTCGACATAAACACCCGATGCGAGCTCGTCATGATGTCCGACGGCATCCCGAAGGACGGCGTGCCGCCCACGTCCTTGACACGCACAACCCGGCGGCCACCTTTGTCCGGTGAGGTGGAGTCGATGTAGAACGGCCCGCTGTTGGCGGTGGTCCGGGCGGCAGGGAGGGAGGCCAGGAGGTCGGTGGCTGACGGGGGGAACATGTCACCGAGTCCCGACATGTTGGACAGGAAGGAGACGGAGGGGAAGACGCGCGAGTGGCCGGAGAGCTGGGGGGAGCCGGCCATGGCGCAGAGGGAGACGTTGAGTTTGCTGTTCTGCACCTGCAGATCGCTGTCGGGGTTGCTCTGCCCCTGCTCGCCGCCCTGCGAGTCGAGGGAGGGGCTGGTGACGCCTGAGACGACTTGCTTGACCTCGAGGTCGCCGGTGGGCATGCCGCGGAGGGAGACGTCGACGGCGACGTCCTCTGGCTCTGGCTCGCCCGCCCACTTCTTCTGGATGACGTACCGCCTGAAGAGGCCCTTGCGCATCAGCTTGCAGCGCTCCATGTAACGCGCCACGTGGTCGATGTGCGGATTCATCGCAGCCAAGTGTTCACGCTGTCAGTGAGAAGGAAGGAGATATAGAGCTAAGTACGCATCTCTCTCTCCCTCTCTCCCTCTGTGTGTGTGTGTGTGTGTGTGTGTATCAGGCTGCTGACCGACCTGTGATGGGTCTGCAGGTCTCGAGGAGCGGTTGTCTCGTGTCATGAGCCGCTGAAGTATCCACATGGAGGTGAAGAGGCTGGTTCGGATCTTGCGCTTGGCCTCCCAGCTGAGGGTGACCTCCGCCTCGTGCGCCAAATGGTCCCGCAGCGCCTTCTGAAAGAAGGGGTGCACGCGACCCGTCTTGTCGGCCATGTCCAGCTTGAGGATGCCATGCGTCTTGAGGATCCCCCACACAGACAACACCTCCTCCTCCTCCTCACGAGGCGCCGACTCGCCGACCAGCTGCTCCTTCGGCCCTCTGTGGTACAGAGCGATCCACCAGCCGCCGCAACAATGGCCGGTGGTTTCACACTCGTCTGTCGCGGTGAGTTGCGAGCCGAGAGGACTGCCTGGGGAGGCGACGTTGGAGGCCTCGTTAGAGAGGCAGGGGGTGGGGATCTTGTGCTTGCGGAAGCGCTCGGAGTAGTAGCACTTGCGGCAGAGCATGAAGCCGTCGCACTGGACGCAGCTGAAGATGGAGGCGTGGGGCTGCTTCAGGTCGATGTGGCGCCCGCAGCCGCTGCAATCGGCACCGCTCTCAATCTGATGGATGGATGATATTGATTCAGAGCAACACACAGCGTGTGTAGGTCACTCACTGTGCCTCTGTAGTGCTTGTGCCATTGACTGCATCCCTCTCACTTACGTATTCGCAGTATTGTGTGGGCAGCCGTCCGCGTGCATCGAAGCCCACATCGACGACAAACAGGATGCGCTGCATAGCATCAGTCAGTAAACACACACAACACATTGCCGTTAGCTATCCGTGTGCTGTGCTGTGCTGTGCTGTGCGCGTCAGTCGGGTCGGTCGGTGTGCCTTTGCACCTCACCTCTTTTGGGTTGACTTTGGGTTGATTCCGGAGGCACAGGCGCCTGAGGAAGCTGAATGGCATTCTCGACAGGTAGTATGCCCCCAGCAACATCAGGCCAACAATCACCAGACCCAACACAGCCGCTGTAGTGTCAGGAAAAAAGCAGAACAAGAAAAAGTGTGTGCGTGCGTGTGTTGCTATCATGGTGGCGTACCGACGAGGTATTGCTGCCATGGCTTCGGCAGGGACTCCTTGAGCGATTCCCAGCTCAACATCGCGGAACGGATACCTGCACAGGCCACACACCACGACGACACCACACAGCGGTCGACCCATGTCCCTACAGGCCTGGTGTCACACTCGTCGCTGTCTGCCTTTCTGTCTCGCCTACCGAAGACGAATGCGAGTAGCAGCAGTATGATGGTGAATATTCTCTGGAAACGACGCAGCCACTTCTCGCGATTCGGATTCGGATCGTCCTGCAACACACACACACTCGTGTACTCGTAGTCGACCTCTCCACCTCCCTCCCTCCCTCTGCGTTGCGCTGCGCTGCGCTGCGTGCGTACCAGGAATGGCGACCATCCGTTGTCGTGGACTCTGGGGCTGACGCCCACCATGGCGTTGAACAGCTCCTCCCACTTGGGGAAGCCGACGGGCGACGGCGCCCAGTACGCCAGCATCTCGGCGATGCGGCCACCCGCCTGACTCTGCTTCGACAACGACTCGTACGTCGCCACCATGGCAACACTCGCCGGCTCCTCGTCCAGAGTGCGGGCCACAAACGTGTTGAAAGCCTCCTGTTTGTCACACACACGCACACATGACGAATGGGATGGGCCTCTGGGTCTGTCTTTCCTCCCGTCCCCTCCTGCATCGCATCTGTGCGAACCTGTAGGTCAGGGTTGTTCTCGACAAACCACCGCTGGTAGAACTCGTCGTAGGTCAGCCCCAGCTCCCCACCAGCCCGGAAGAAGGCCTCAATGTGCGCAAGCTGGATGGGCAGACACCCCACCGCCTCCGCCAGCTTGCGAGCCGCCACGATCTCGCTCTTGGGCAGACGGCGGTGTGGGGTGGTAGGAGGGCTGCTCTCGTCACGATCGCTAGTATCAGCCGTGGTGAGGGCCAGTGCGGGCGGCGGCTGGATGGCCCGGATGAGTATGTTGGCGGCGTCCTGGAGGGTCAGAGATTCGATCTCGAGACACTGGCCTCGCTGGGCGTACTGCAGTCGTGGCACACGAGCGGTGATGAGGACGTGGCCGCGGGCGTTGGTGGGGACGATGTCATCCACTGCGAGAGCCGTCTCGTCCAGACCGTCAAGCACCACCAGCCACCGGATGCCGCGCTGACTCGACCTGCACACACTCACAGACACCAGACTCACACATTCAGGAGTGGGTGACCTCACTCTTCCTGTTTGGTTTGCCTCTGTGTGTGGCTGGCTCACCTGAGGAGTTCCATCTTGAGGGCAGCGGCCACCTGATCCTCAGTGAGGTCCTGGTTCTCCAGGTACAGATTGAGGTCACGCGCAAGCCGGCGGTAGCTCTTGCGCAGATCCTCGCGCGACTCCCCGTTGAGCCACAGGATGAGGTCGTACTCCGAGAAGTCTTGACTACCGCCACCGCCACCGCCGCTGCCGTGAATGTCACGCTTGACCAGCTGCACCAGGTCACCCCCCGTGGCCGTGCTGGCACTGGTGCTCGTGGCGCTGCCCGACGTCTGTGGGCGTGGCGCATCCGTCGAGACAACCGTCGCCGGCTCGCTCGCGCGTAGGTAGTGGTGGCAGTAGGCGACCGCCACACAGGTCTTGCCCACCCCCGGGAGGCCGCACAGCTGCACCACCCGAAGTAGGGGCGTGGCGCCGTGCACCGCCTCCTGTCGCCGGTACACCTCGCTTATGGCCTGCAGCTCGCGCGAACGGCCGACCAGCTTGTCGTACGGCGGGGGGACGAACAGCTTGGCAGGGAGGGCGGCGTGAAGCCGCTCCAGGGAGGCGTAGAGGCGCTCGAGGGACGTGGGGCTCCCTAGCACGCCCTCGCTCGTGAGGGTGTCGACGCCGTCCTTGGGCTTGGTGGCCTTGACGTACTCGAGGATCTCTGAGAGCAGGGACTGGATGAGCGGCTGGTTCATGACCACCTCCACCTCCACACACGAGTCGGCCGTCATTCGAGACGAGACCACGCGCACGCTGCTGATGGTGCCGTTGAGCTGCCCGCCCTTGCGCACGCTCTTCTCCAGGAGGTCGTCAGCCGACGCCGACGCGCCCGCAGCACCGCCCTTGAGGTCATCATCACTGTCTCCCGCGGCCTTCTTTGTGTCCTCCTTTATTTGTCCGGGGGACGTGAGTGACCGGTTGAGGGCCGGGCCGGCGTCACGGATGCGCCAGAGACCGTCGTTGTCGCCAGAGGGCACCAGGAAATCACCGGGGCTCGGCTGCACGCCGTAGGCCACCTTTGCCAGCTGTCGGCCATAGAGGCAGACGAGGACGTGGCTGTGGTTGGGTGGGATGGAGAGGCTGCGCTGCAGGGACTCGTTGGTGTTGCTCTGCCGCCGCAGAGTGGGGATGGACTCGTAAGCCGCCTTGGGGGATGACCCTGAGCGCGATATCGACGACCCCAGCGCCTTGACCGCACCCATGGGCGACCGCATCCGCTGCTTGCCGGTGGTGCCCTCCTGCCCGGCCTTCTCGCCGCCATCCTTCTCCTTTTTGATGGTCGGCTCCTCCTTGCCCACCACAGCAGTCGAGTCGACAGCTGACGTGCTTATCTTGCAGCAGAACCAGTCACGCTGCTCGGCCACACGTGAGATCTCGGGCACCAGGCCGATGGTCTGCCCGGCTGTGGTGGTGTCGAACGAGACGAGGCCGCGTGCGTCCATGCCGATACACATGCCCCGCGAGAAGTCGTCTTGTGAGAGGTGGGACACAACCGGGTGCCAATACGCCGTGTCGCCCACGCCGGAGCCGGGACCGAGCCCACGGTTGGGAGGCTGAGGGACGGCCGTCGACTCGCTCAGCAGATACCTACAGGCAGACCAGACAAGGAGAGAAATATGGACAGTCGGCCTGTCTGTGTTCCTTGTCTCTCTCTTGCGAACTCGCTCTCTTGCGTACATGAGCAGGGCGTCCAGGTCGACCTCCGAGTCGATGTCAAACCGTTCCTTCAGCAGCTCCACGGCATTGCCGCTCTCCCGGATCTGCTGCAGCAGGCTCTCACTCAGCTGCACCTGGTTGGTCGGCAGAACCGCACCAGCAGGGAAGCTCGCCACAGAACCACTGGTGCTGCCCACAGGCGCTCCCAGGTCATATGGAGTGGGCGGCACCGCCAGCATCGACCCGGGCTGCCCGCCGAAAGGCGGCGTGCCACGCTGGGTGGCTGTGGCTGCAGCGGAGTTCTGGCTGAAGGGGCTTCTGATCTCCACTGTCTCGTATGTCTTGTCCGAGTATCTGTTGCTGCGGTGGCCCTTGTCCGTGCTCGAGTCGACGCTGCCACTGACGCTGTCCTCTTCCTCGGCCACGCTCTGCACCCGCTGCCGCTTGGCGCCCGGCAGCACGTCCTGCATCGAAGTCGTGAGCCCTCGCTTGTCGGCCGCCTCCCGCTTGACGATGTCGGCGGTGTCCAGCTGCCCCTCCCATGGCCACGGCTCCTGCGCCAGGGCGTTGGGGCCACCCATAGCCTCGCCCATACCCCCTCCTCCCATGTAGCCGTAGTCGACCGATGAGGAAGCCACCCCGCCACCCAGGTAGTCGCTCTCGTGCGGGGCGGCGGGGAGGGCGTCGGCGTCCATGTCGTTGTCGCGCGGGGTCTGTAGGGAGAGGGAGAGGGTCAGGCCGGGCCCGGTGCCGTCCATCTGGATACCCTCGCCGTAGTCGTGCTCGGGGATTGAGGGCAGGCCGGCCTCGTTATCAAAACCCAGCTGCAGTGACGACCCCGACTGTGACTTGAGGAGGCCAGTGTCGAAGGTGGTGCCCATGGGCATGGACATCGACACGGGCAAGGGCATGGCCACAGACATCGTTCCATGGGGACCGTAATCTGACCCACCGGACTCCTGCTTGACCGTCACTCTATCCTGCTGCAGCTGGCCTGCTGTAGCTGATGCTGATGGGTCTGGGGTGACGGCCTGGTCGAGAGATGGGGGACGGGCGGGGCTCGACTGCGTGTGCCCCGGCACCATGCGCGAGAACTGGCTGGCAAGACGCTGCATGAACGAGGGCGGCTCGGGCGACGGTGTGGGGGGATGAGAGGGCTGCGCCTGCCCAGCTGGCACACCATAGGCGGGGCCAGCTATCATCGACGGGGGCGGGGTGGCAGCCTCCTGCTGCTGCTGCTGCTGCATGTTGATGTTGGAGTAGTGGTAGGGGTTGCTGACTCGTGGGTAGGGAGGGGGAGGGGGAAGGGGGGAGGTCGGGGGCGACAGCGGCTGATCCCCGCCATTGCCATTGGGATACAGCCCGAAGTGGGCCGTCGGTTGGCTGCCGAAGTTGGCTGTCTGTGTCTGCTGGCTGTCGGGGGCTGTGTCGCCGCTCATATTGAGGGAGGGCGGCAAGGCCAACGCCTCGCCAAAGACGAAGGGCGCCGGGCTGTCGTGGCTGCCAAGTGCCTGCTGCGCGATAAACTGGCGGTGCTGCACAGCGCTCTCATAGTTGGGCTGGGGCGAGTAGGACTGCTGCTGCTGCTGGTAGGGCGTGGGCGAGCCGACTCCACTGTATTGTGACCCCTGGGGCGACTGCGGGCCGGCTGTGGTGAGCATGGACATTGGTGTGTTGTCCATGTGCTGCTGCTGCTGGTGGTAGTGGGGGTGAACCTGGACCCGCTTGCGTCTGCCGGTTTGTGACTTGACGACTTTGCCCCTTTTCTCGCATGTCTTGGTGTGAGTGTCGAAGACCTCCTCGAAGATGAGCTGCTCGCACCACTGGCAGAGGCGGCAGTGGTTCTTGTGGTGGCGGGGGATGTGCTGGTGGACGTAGTTCTTGTGGAAGACCCACTCCTGAATGCCCTTCTCGTCGCGACAAAAGTTACACTGGTAAAACTGACACACACACACCGACACGACACACGGAGAGAAGAGGACACACACAGACAAAAGATCGATCACTGAGTGCGCGCCCGTGTGTGTTTGTGTTTGTGTGCGCCTCTGCGTGTGTGTACCTTCTTGACGCCACCGCCCGGCAGTGCGAACTCGAGGACGAGTCGATCTTTCTTCTTGGGCGCGGCACTCACGCGCCCCTCCAGCGCATGACCGCTACAGTGAGGCAAGAACCAGCGACCATCCCCTTTGATATGAACCAGCACACGACAGAACACACACAGCACACAGATGCAAATGCAGAGAGGCGGCAGTAGAGATCTCCCTCCTCATTCCCTCCCGTGTGATGACACAGACACACCCGTCAGTCCATCTGGACAGACCGGCGGACCGTCGTGCGTGCGTCGTACCTGAGGTGAAGGGTCTCTTCTCCCCGCCAGCCACGTCGACCTCCGCATCGTAGCCAGGCTGATACCCCATCCCAGCTGACTGAGGACCGTAGGGCGACGGGCTGGGTGACGGCGAGGGCGAGGGAGGAGGGGCGAAATGGACTCCCTCCCGAAATGATCCCGCCGGCACGGACGCTGTCTGCTGCCGCATCGATCTGTGTAGATCACGATTCACACCGGTGCGACGAATCGAATCACGTGACAGCCAAGCGTAGCATCCTTGAAGGCAAAACGAAGGACCTCTTGCGAGCTTAGCTCGCGTGCCAGAGGGTGAGGACGCCGGGCTTATCTCGCCACGTCCCTCGCTTCACTCACTCCTCAGGGTCTCAATGCTGCGTAGAGGAGCGGTGAGATCGAGTCCTGCACACCTTTCGAACCGGTCGACTCAGATGTGCGGCAAGATACGGCGGCGGTGCTGGGCCAACTGACGCCATGAATAATCCGGCAGGCGAACAGGCCATGGCCTCCGAGAGATCGCGGCCGCTGCCCGCCATTGCGGCGCAGGCGCGGCGCACGTGGGAGGCGATATCGTTTTCGTGGATGTACGGAGTGCTGCGGACGGGTCAGCCAGCACACACACACACGGCAGATCTGATCAACACGATGGCTGCGCTGCAATTGTTGTGTGCATCTGTCGGTCGGTATCTGGCTGTGCTGTATCTGTGTGTATCTGCCTTGCGACAGGCAACTCCCGCCAGCTGGAGCACTCCGACCTGCCGCCATTGATGCCTATAGACGACACCGACCGCTGTGCCGCCTCATTCGCAGCCCTTCTGTCGCGGGAGCAGCAGCGGCCCTCCCCCTCTCTCCTGCACTGCCTGCACGTCGGCCACGGCCGGCAGTTCTACCCTCTCTGTCTGGTGCTCATCGTCACCACCCTACTGGGCCTGTCGGGCCCGCTGCTGCTCAAAGCGTTGCTGGAATTTGTCGAGAGCGGGTCGGACAGGGGTGAGAGTCCGTGGCGCGGTGTGGGGATCGCTGTGGCGATGTGTGTGGTTGCGGCGGCGAATGCGGTGCTGTCGTCGCAGTATGGCTTCTGGACGGGGCGGGTGTGCATGCGGATGCGGGTGGGTCTGATGACGGCCGTCTTTGAGCGGATGGTGGCCTCGCCCAACGTGACCATGAAAGACGGAACCAAACGGAGGTTCACCACCGGGGAGGTCACCAACTTCGCCAACATCGATGCTGACAGGGTCAGTCAGACAGACGGCGACACAGCACAGCACAGCACAGCACACTGTGGGGATGATGAGTGGGATAGCTATCAATCCCCCCTCTCTCTGTGTCCAGGTGTCTGGAGTGGTGAATGTGTTCAACTCGTTCTGGCAGCTGCCCCTGGATGTGTCGCTGACCCTCTACCTCCTCCACCGAGAGGTCCGCAGCGCCTTCCTCGCCGGTCTGGCCTTCCTCCTCGTTGTCGTGGTCTGCAACATTCTCGTCGCCACGCGCATCTCCTACCTCACCAAACAAATGATGACCTACAAGGACCAGCGGGTCAAGCTATGGTACGTACGCCCCGACCGAAGGCAGCTGACTGAGCTGCAGGCCGGACGGATGGAGCACATGGGATGGATGCGAGTGTGTCTGTGGCTGTGTGGCTGGTTTGGGTGTGTTGTGGTGTGTTGTGTTGTGTTGTGTGTTTCAACTGAATCAACAGCAATGAGGCGCTGCAGGGCATCCGCACGGTCAAGATGCTGGCGCTGGAGAGCTTCATCTCCGACAGCGTCACTCAAGCACGCAAGAAGGAAGTGGCCGCGCTCGCCGGGAGGAAATACCTAGGTACCTACCTACCCTGCACACACGCATTTAGCGATGATTGAGCTCGCCTCACTGTGTATGTCCCTCCCTCAGACGCGTGGTGCGTGTACTTCTGGGCGACCACGCCCGTGTGTGTGGCCCTGGCCACGTTCTCGGCCTTCGTCATGGGCGGCTCCACACTCACCGCGTCGACGGCCTTTACCGCATTGGCGTTGCTGCTGCGGCTGATCGGCCCCATGAACAACTTCCCATGGGTCCTCAACAGCGTCATCGAGGCACGCATCTCATTCATAAGGCTCTCGGAGTTTATTCTGCCACCTGGTGGGCTGGGCATGGATGGCATCAACCGCACCAACCAACACATTCAACTCAACCGCTGCGTGGCATGGACGTGTGTTGTGTTGTGTGGTGGTGTGTCAGATGACAAGCCTTTACGGGCTCCCAGGATGGCTCCCGACACCCACCATCCCGGCGCGGCGACGCCGCTGCGGTCCCTCCCCACGACCTATGTGCTGGCCCCTCCCCACGACCCAGCAGCAGTGGTCAGTGCCAGATCCACTGCATCCTCCCCCTCGTCCGAGTCCAACCCGCCCACCACGTCACCCGGCCTCGACCCGTCCGTCAGGTCGGCATCCACCAACGACGGCTCGCCCACTTTCGGCCGACCCGAGACCACCACAGCAGCTACAACAGATGACACAGTGGTTGTCGCACTCAAGGGCGCCACATTTGCTTGGCCGGAGGTGAAGGACGACAGCGCGAGCAAGCGCGACACCACCCCACCCACCACCACCGCCTCGAGACGGTGGCGCAAGAGGCCCCCTCCCACCCACGCCCTCCCCTCATCCCCCACTCATCACTCACACACCGGCACCGGCAAGGCGCCCCCGGACAGCAAGAAACACGACCTTTTTCCCTCTAGCGCGCCCTTCATGCTCTCAGAGCTCTCTCTCGAGGTGCGCAAGGGCGACATGGTTCTGCTGGTTGGCAGAGTGGGCTCCGGCAAGTCATCCCTCCTACACGCCATCCTTGGCGAGCTGCGGCTGCTCGAGGGCGAGGCCACCACGCCCCGCCTGGGCACTGGTGTCCGCAGCACCACAAGGAGGGGCGCCCCCAGCAGCACGGGGGAATGTGCGGTTGCGTATGCGGCGCAGAGTGCGTGGCTGCAGAGCGCATCGATCAAAGACAATATTCTGTTTGGCCGGCCGTATGACGCTGCGAGGTACCAGCAGGTGGTGCATGCCTGTGCGCTTGAGGCCGACTTGGCCATGATGCCCAGCAAAGACGACACCGAGATCGGAGAAGGGGCCCACACACTCTCTGGTATGTACTCCTGGCCTGGCCTGGCGTGGCGTGGCGAGTACCCATCACCTCAATCGATTGACACACGTCGTATCTCTCTCTGTGTGTGTGTGTGTCAGGTGGTCAGCGTGCCCGTGTGGGTTTGGCGCGTGCAGTGTACGGCCCGGCGTCGCTCTACCTCATAGACGACCCCCTGTCTGCCGTCGACGCCCACGTCGCCTCACACATATGGCACAACGTCTTCGGACAAGGTAACTAACTGACTGACCTCCAGACACACCGCACCCACCCCACCAGGGCACACACCAACACACCCATCCTCTCCCGTCCGCTCCCGTCCGCAGGTGGTCTTCTGGCCGGTTCGACTGTGATTCTGAGCACCCATGCACTGCACTACGCCCACGACCCCCGTGTGGAGCGAGTGGTGGTGCTCGGCAACAACGGCATCGTGGCCAACGGCACCGTCACCCTTCCCCGCCTGCTCACGGCCCTCGAAGACATCGGCCACCACACATCCTCACACCGCAGCTGCAGGAGCATCAACTCGCCCTTCGCAAGAGGCAGGCGCTGCCGGCCGGCGTCAGCGGCAGATGAAGCGAGCAACCACCGGTCGCAGAGCCGGTCGCCCTCACCGAGACCGCCCCTTTCGCCAGCAGGCAGACCGCTGAGTCAGATGACGCCAGGCAGCTTTGTCAACCGGCCCGGATTGCCCCCAGTGGGCCCAACAGGACCAGCAGTCAGGCCGGCAGCAGCAGGGCTGACCCCGGCCGCCCTCAAGGCGTATCAAGCCGGCAGCATCAGCAGCTGCCAGTGGGCCAGGCAGCCCCAGCCCCTCCCGCCCCCCCTTCCCTCCCTCCTCGCCGGCAAGAAGGCGCCCGCCTCGCTCTCCCTGCCCAGCCCCTCTGTGGGCGGGGTGCCCATCACCCCGCCAGCTTATTCGGTCAACGGCGCAGTGGACGAACGGGAGCAGTCTGGCGGCCCCTCCGGCAACGCGTCAGCCACCGATGGCCGGGTGCACGCGTCCCTGGTGGACCCATGTGCCTTCGACATGTCAGCAACCGACTCGCAGGCGGGAGATATCGACATAGACAACGAGCAGGAGTCGTGTGTTGGGTCGGGGTCAGGGGGAGGGGCGTCGCCCACGTCCCGCGGTGCTGGTGGGGAGGGGGCGGGGTGTGAGAGTGACTCTGGTGGTGGTGGCAAGGGCGACGAGGATGGAGCCAAGCTGGTGGACAAGGAGGAGCGGCAGGAGGGTGTGGTGGCGTGGCGGACGCACAGAGCGTACTTTGCCAGCGCTGGAGTGGTCGTCTGCATCGCCACGCTCATCTCGCTCATACTCATGCAGCTCACCCGCAACGCCTCGGACATCTGGCTCTCCAGCTGGACCTCTTCATCTTCATCTACCCCACCCCACGACCCATCACCCGCTACACCCCATCCATCCCACATCAGCTCCTTGTGGGCCATGCTGTACGTGCCCCCCAAGTGCCTAGATGGCTGGTGCGACGGTCAAGGAGGCGCGAGTGACGACATCGACTTGCGAGAGGACGGCCTCAACACACAACGGGGCGCACACTATTTCCTCGTCGGCTACGCCGTCATTGCCCTACTCAACTCGGTCTTCACCATCCTGCGGGCATTCCTTTTCGCTTATGGTATGCCTGCAGGCCGGTCACACACGAGCAGAGAAGGAACATGTCATGGTGTGTGCCAATGTAATGCCGGCTGTGTCGGCTGGCTGGGTGTGGTGTGGTGTAGGTGGTGTCCGTGCGGCGCGTTGTCTGCACGACGCCATGTGGGTGCGTGTGCTGCATGCGCCCGTGGGCTGGTTCGACAAGACGCCGGTCGGCCGCGTGCTGAACCGGTTTGCGGGTGACCAGTGGAGTGTGGACGACAGCCTGCCTTTCCTTTTCAACATACTCCTCGCCCAGGTGGGTGGGTGCCCGGGGTCAGTGCATTGCCTGCATCGGCGAGCAAAGAGGTGGGATGTGTGTGTGGTGTGTGCAGAGTGTGGGGCTGCTTGGGACGCTGTGCACGTTGCTGTATGCCAACATATGGGTGGCGACCTTCCTGCCGGTGCTGGCATTCATATACTTCAGGATTCAGGTGGGTCGACCAGCCAGCCACTCAGACGCACCCAGAGAGAGCAACAGAGAGGAGGGGAGAGAGGCAGGGAGGGAGAGAGGGAGGGAGGGAGGGAGGGAGATGCAATGGGTGTGATGAAACTCTTGTCTGCTACCATCTTTCGGGTCTGAGCTCCCCGTGATGGACACACACAATGAGAAAGAGCTGCTGACCTACCACACACACACCTAAGCAGACAGGCAGACATCAGTATCTGTTCCCCTCTCATCATCCCATCTCTCTCTCTCTCTGTGCGTATGTGTATGTATGTGTGTTTGTCATGATTAACAGCGTTTTTACCGTCGCTCTAGCCGTGAGTTGAAGCGCCTTGAGTCCACCAGCAAGTCGCCCGTATACAGACTCTTCAACGAAGCACTCGCGGGTAACGGAACACCCCCTCTGTCCATCTCCCCAAAGACACACTGACACACATCAAGGCAGGCACACAAGTGTGTGGGTGGAATGGCTGCAGGCCGCGTGACGATCCGTGCGTTTGCGGCCGAGGGCCGCTTCCTCAAGGAGAACGCCGCCCGCATCCGGCAGAACCAGGAGGTCCAGTACTCATCCCAGGCCGCTGGCGGATGGCTCACCCTCCGCTTCGACTCCATCGGCGTGGCCCTCACCTCTTTCACCGCACTCGCAGCCGTCACGCAGCACATCGTCTTGGTCCACTACGGTGCCGACACGGGAGCCTCTGCGGGCCTGATGGGTCTGGCCATCTCGTACGCTCTGCCCATTGTGGGGCTGGTCAACGGGCTGATCGGAACGTTCATCGAGACGGAGAAGCAGTTCATTGCGGTCGAGAGGGTGGACGAGTACATGCGTGTCGAGCAGGAGCCGGACACCATCGCTCTCAGGGACGAGGTAGACGCCTTCCACAATGAAGAGGACTACGCAGATGCCGATAAGGATGAGGCGGGGGAGTCGCCGCAGACGGACGACAGCGACCGCCCTCCGAGCAGCAGGAAGACCGGCTCGCCTTCACTGCAGTGGCTGCCCGTGTTCGATCGCATGCCGGGCAAGTCGGCACGCAGCCATTCGGTTGAGGCATCCCCCGCCTCCACCAACTCGCGGCCGGTGCTGCCCCGCCGCTATCACAGCATCTCTGTCGACAACCCCAGCACCACCACGGCCACGGCCGACGAGTCAGACCGCCGGCGCATGGACGGCATCGACGAGGGCAGCGTGTGCGACGAGGACCAATACCAATACCAGTACCACCATCCCCACACCCACCCGAACCAACAAAAGGGCTATGTCCCGCCTAGAGCAGCACTTGTGGGTATTGCTGGTGACCACGACGCGACGGCAGACAAGGGCGGTGGAGATCGGGATCGTGACAGGGAGCGGCTGCAATCGCAGGCGCGCAGCCTGTCCTTGTCCAACGACAGCCACCCAGACGAGAGCGGCGGCGGTGTGCGGGGTGACGCGGGGTCCAACAAGTCCCTCTCAGAGCTCATATCCTCCGTCAGTGGCGACTGCGGAGTCGGGCCTCTCGCCACGCCCCCCGTGACGCCAGGCCAGGACGCCCCCCTGACTAGACGCAACAGAGGTGTCCGCACCATGCTGGCATCCACCAGTGACGCGATCACATCGACGGGCCACCGTGCTGTGAGGATGACCCGACGGGCGTGCCGCGACGCTGTTGCCGTGGTGCGCCGCCGATGGACGTCATGGCAGAGAAGACAGGCGAGACGGCGGCAGCAGCAGCACAGTAGCAGAGAGCCCAGCCCCAGTCAAGACCTTACCGAGCAGCTGCTGACCCCCCCGCCCACGACCGCCTTGACGGCCATGCACGACTCCAACTGGTCCGTGTGGAGCCAGTTGCGGCTGCGACAGTTCGGCAGCAGCAGCAGAGGCATCCGGCCCTTCTCTCTACCACGAGCCCCCAACGAGACGTACCCGCCCCCACGGCTGCCACGGCTGCTGACGTTCCCCCTGCCCTTGGCGGCATCAGTGCCGGCCGATTGGCCCAAGACGGGGCGCATCGAGATATCTCAGCTGTGGGTGACATATCGGCCTGGGCTGCCCCCTGCGTTGAGGGGTGTGAGTGCGACGATTGCGTCTGGGACGCGTGTGGGTGTGGTCGGTCGGACGGGGAGCGGCAAGAGCACCTTCCTGCTGTCGCTCTTCCGGATGGCACCCAAGACCGCTGGGGCGCTGCACATTGACGGTGTGTAATCAATGAAGGGGATGGATGAAGGCACAGCGAGAGAGACTCAACATGCGGAATACATCTCTCTCTCTCTCTCTCTGTGTGTGTGTGTGTGTGTGTGAAGGTATAAACATCGACGGGGTGCCGTTGGAGCGGCTGCGGTCGTCCATCTCTGCCGTCCCGCAGTTCCCCGTCCTCTTCTCCGGATCAGTCAGGAAGAACATCGACCCATCGGTGAGGGCACACAAGCAACCGCCTGTCGCCACAGACGCACCCACCCGCTTGTTGTGTGTGTGTCGGGTGAGTGCAGGGTGTCCATCGTGACGGCTCTATATGGGAGGTGCTGCGTCAATGCGAGATGGAGGACGCCATCCAGCGGCTCCCCGACGGGCTCGACACCCACATCGGCGACGAGGGCGGGGCCGCACTCTCTGTTGGTCAGAAACAGCTCATCTGCCTCGCCAGGGCCCTGCTGCGGAAGGCCAAGGTGAGTCAGCCATCCGTGTGTCTATCTAAGATGTCCGTCCTCGTGTCTAGTCCACAGGTGTCATGTGTTGTGTGTGGGGGTGTGTGTTTGGGGGTGTGGTGTGCTGCAATATATCAGGTGGTAGTGCTGGACGAGGCGTCGAGCTCGGTAGATCCCCGGACCGACCACGTCATCCACCAGACCATCAGGCGGTACTGCGTCGGGGCCACACTCATCATCGTGGCTCACAGGCTGCAGGTCTGTTTATACCGACCCCGACACACCACACGACCACCGTATTCTCCCTCCCTTTCTGTCTGTGTGTCTCTGTGGTGCCTGGCCTGCAGAGTGTGATGGACGTGGACAGGATTTTTGTGATGGAGGATGGGCAGATCATCGAGGACGGCGCGCCAGAGAAGCTCCTCGAGCACCCCGCATCCCTCTTCTCACGACTCGTGGCGCAGCAGCACACCGCACACCATCAGCACGGTGCTGGCGCTGGTGCTGGGGGGATCATCGGCAGCCCACTCACGATGGCACCCATCTAGAGAGAGGGCGTCGGAGGGTGGTGTCCGCAGACGACACACAGACAGACAGACAGATTTAGGGGGCGGTGGATGGAGCGGTGGGAGGGAGGGAGGGTGAGTGGACGGGTGTCTTTGGTAGTAGTAGTTCTGGCTATTGGAGAGGCGTGACGTGGCGAGGTGAGTTCGAGGCGAGGCTTTTGGAGGGGGCGAGCACAGTGTGTGGATGATGGGGAACGGAGAGGACGGATGGAGTCTAGTGAGAGCTCTGCTCTGCTCTGCTCTGCTCTGAATGTGTGTCTGTGTGTGTGTGTGTGTTGTGTAGCATAGAGGGGCACTTGCTCGGCTCGACACACACACACACACACACCGAATGAAAGGGATCAGAGCAAGACACGCAGAGGAGATAGGTAGCCTGCTAGCGGCCGCCCGACGGGCCTCACATGGGTGTTTTTCTACGTGTCGGTCGGCTGCTGTGCTGTGCTGTGCTGTGTGTTGTCTACACAAGCATGCATGGGTGGATGTTGCGGGCAACGATACCCACCTCCCCCCCCCGAACACTCACCTGGCAGCTTCCCTCTGCCGGAGTCCCTCCTCACTCACACCCACACCCACACCCACACCCACCCACATCCATCCACACACACACGTGCTCCTCCCCCTCCCTCATTTCATTCACAGGAACAGATTCATCCGCCAAGGAATACATAGCATAACACTCAGACCGACACTCACACTGACGCCTTGATCACTTTCGTCCGTCCGTGCGATGGGATGGATGGCTGGGTTATGAATGACCGAATGAATGAGAATGAATGTGTGTGTGTGTGTGTGTGTGGTCGTGTGGTCGTGCTGGCTGGCTGGCTGGCCTCTTGCCTCCGTGCTGTGCTGGCTGGGATTGTGCTAATTCGAGTCTCCACCCGTACTTAACGGAACGGACTACACAGACAGTGCTTGAAGCGACTGACTCGGAAGTAAGGCTTATGTGTGTGTATGCTCTTCATGGTAAGCTAGCTGGGGAACCCGCTGAGGGATGGGTGGATGGATGGACGTGGCTGGTATTTCCTGGCGGGCTCGTGCCGGTCTGCCTGCTGGGGACAAGTTTGTTGTCATGCCAATGAACAATGCACCGAGGACCAACCGGAAGGGAGAGAACAGAAGAAGGGGTGTGGTGTGGTGCTGATTTTCTCGGTTTCTCTGACTGACTGACTGTCCGTCTGACTTTTCTGTCTGTCTGTCTGACTTCTCTGAGCCTGTCTGTCTGGCTTCCTGCCTGCGTGGAAGGCAGGCAGCGTCTCTCTCTCTCTCTCTCTGTCTGTCACGTTGGCTCTTCTTGCTCTGTGTGGCTAGATGGATGGACGCACCGGCGCCTTTGTTCAATCAACGGCATTCATTCGGGAATTCTCTATTTGTCGGCCTCTCACTCTCTCTCTCACTGACTGAGTTTCTCACTTTCACTCACTCGCGGGCCATCATCACTCACTCACTACCAGGGCGGCACACACACACTCGCATATATTGGTGTCCGATTCCCCTCCCTGGTTTTGGTGGCCTTTTGTCGAATATATGGCTGGATGGCTGTGTCCTACCGTTGAATGGATGAATTGATGGATGGATGGATGGATGTCGACCTCTGCCTTACTGGCAAGCATCGATTGCATAGTATAGCCTGGCGTGGCATTGGCTTTTTGTGGTTAGCGCACGCGCGTAATGTAACGGATTTAGTAACTCGCTCAGCTCACTCACTGCTGTCTGCGGCTACCTACCTACCTGTGGGCCTCTCTCTCTCTCTTTCTCTCTCTGGCTGGCTGGGCAGCTCCACTCCACTCTCCGCTCCGCTCCTCTCCTCTCCTCTCCTCGCTCATTGCGTGCATTGCGTGGCGTCCTTCCTTGTGGTTTTCTAAGGATGGATGCGTGTGTGTACGGCTTGCTACGGCTGCTGTAAGTCCGTGCGTCCCCACGAGGAGCGGCGCGATGCAATGCAACCAGACAGAGAAGCAAAACAGACAGAGGCACTGACAACTAACTTTTTCTGGTCTTCCCAATGGGACGACCGGCCGGCTGCCCGGCGGATGGAGGAATGGATGGAGGGAGGGAGGGATGGCTTACTGCGCTCATACTGACCTGTGATGATGATCTGCATACCATACATCACGAGCCTTCCTGCCTACGTGGATGGATGACTGACTGTTGCGGTGATGCATGCATGTGATGAGGGGCGGGCAGTTTCTGTGTTGGTGTTGTGTTGTTCGGTGTTCAAAGCGTGTTCGTGTGGCGGGCCTTTTTTTGGACCTAGGGGTACACACGCGGGGATGGAAACTCACACTACACACACATTGCATTACATTCATGGGGGTCGCGTTGGTGTGCGTGCGACGCATGAGGGTGTGAGCTCGTGTTGACCGGTGGGCTGGCTGGCTGGCTGCACACACATGCAGAGGAGAGGAGTGGAGGGGAGTGGAGGGGGATCGTGTGCTGTGTTTGGCTGGAGTCGAGTCGAGTCGAGTCGCGTCGTCTGGTGTCGTGTGTGCGCATGGTACGGCACGGTGTTTACTCTGATTATTGTGCGTGCGTCTGTCTGTCTTTACGTGCTAGTGGGGGCTGACCTGCCTGACCGCCTGCGTTCGTCGCGTCCAAATCTAAAGCGAGGGAGGCACCAACGCAGACAGAAACGAACAGACAGAGAGAGATGACATGAATGAAGTCGGCGCTGATTTTTGGCCCGCAGATCAGATCGGTTCATCCATCCACTGAATCAGTCAGTCTTCTGCGTGAGTATCGCTTTCCGTCTGCTGGGTGCTCCAGCAGCTTCTTGGGATCTCCTCTCACGACACGACGGCTGAGCTGCCTGTCAAGGGAGGCGATGTCATGAGCCTGCCGTCCCCCACCGACAGACAGACACACAGAGAAACGGACACGCGACACAGTGGACATCAGCGAGAGGGGGTGAGCGGACGGACGGATTGACGGGCCGTCTGTCAGCCAGATCAGACCAGAGAGGAGGGCTGTTGTGCTTCACTCGTCGTCGCATGGCCAGTGTCCCTCGTGCGTGTGCGTGTGTGGGTGGTGGGTGGGAGGGAGGGAGGGTGGGTGTGTGCGTGAGCCACCACCACCATCACCACCGACAAAAGGTGGGACGAATGAGTCCTATTTTTGTCGCGCACTCACACGCGCAGAGAGAGTCTGTCTGTCTGTCGGTCTGTCGCTCGGAGGTCGGTTTGAACGAACAGTTGGCTGCCTGTCTGTCTGTCGCCAGTGGTCTGGTCTTTTCTTAGTCAGTCTGTGTGTTATCGGGGAAATATAGCGGCAGCAGCCACCTAGCTGCCTGCCTGCCTGCCAGCAACGCAATGCAATCGAATCCAATGCACCATTTTTCTCGTCAACCAAACCAATCTATCTATCTATCGGTCAACTAACCAATTACCTGTCTGTCTGTCTTTCCACTGTCTGCGTCTGCGTCTGTGGTGGGTGAGATCTATCCATCCATCTGTAGCGCTCCATGGCCATGCATCTTATCTAATAATTATCTGATAAGCCCCCCGTGTCTGTGTCTGTGTGTGTCTGTGCGCCGTGTTACTTGGTCACCTACTACAAGCTAGCTCGCCGGTTTCTATCTCTCGCCTCTATTGCATGCCTGGGTGGGCGGTTGGCCGGATGTATCGTGATGACGATACAAAGATACCGGTCGTTCGTGTGGCCCCGCCCAGCTCCCAGCTGTTCATTCAAGCTTGATCGAGGGACTCATTCACTTGACGTACTCACCCATGCCATCCCATATATCCGCCCATTTCCCATTATGCCATCCAGCCCCTCACTCACTCAGTCACTCACTCACTCACTCAGCTTCCCTTGACTTGACTTGCCTGCCTGTACAGATCAGACCTTCCTGCCCTGCCCTGCCCTGCCCTTGGTGCGTTCGTTCATTGCATACTGCTCGTCTATCTTATCTGGCTGTCTGTCTGTCTGTCTGGTAAGGATTGCCTCCACATCACACGCCTTGCCTTGCCTTGCCTTGACTTGCCATGCCACCCCACACCATGCCATCCATTTCATTGCTTGCGAGGCCTAGCAGAGCAGACGGATGGCCCCAGACGCGGCCATGCCATCCCCAGATGCAGCCTGCAGCTAGTCAGTCCCTTGTGCGCTTTCTACGAGCCTACTCACCTGCCTCTCTCCCTGTTTGGCTGGCTGGCTGGCTGGCTGGCTGTCTGCGGTCTGTAATTACTACACGTTTCCTTCATTCCTTGAGGGTTTTTCTCACATCGGCACAGGCATCCATCGTGCGGTGAGACATGCATGTCATTCGCATTCCCGTCTCCTTCCTTGTCCACGCACGAACCGAACCGACCATCGGGTTCACCGCTCCCCTCCCCGCCGCTCCTTGTCTAAGACTTTTTTGCCTTGCTTTGCTTCCTTTCCCTTTGTTTCCTTTGTGTGTTCGGGTGGCGACCCCGACGCATGTTGGTCTGTCTGTCTGTATGCCCAGTTTTGTTTGCACGTATGTCTCCTTTTGATCGCCTTTAATTTAGCTTATGTCTGTCTGTATGCGGTTGTGTGTTGTGTTGTGTGTGGGTCTTTTTTCCCTTCTGCTGGCTGGCTTCTTGTTGATGCGTTGACGCGCGCATGCCGGTGCCTGTCTGTCTGAATGTCTGTCTGAATGTTTGAATGAATGAGTGTTTGGATGGATGGATGCGTGTCGAACGTTCGGTTGGCGTGGCGTCTTTTGTATTTGTATTCTCTTTGTTTCCTCTTCTCCCTCTTCCCTGCACGCCTAAGCTGCTAAGCACGAGGACTCGACTCACTCACTGCTAATCAATGGATGGATGGATGGACCTTTCGTGCGTCGACTGATGGAATGGATGGACCTCTACCTACCTATGTGGCCACCCGGCATGGATGGACGCTGCTCAGCTCTCTCTCTGGTACGTACCTTTAACAATGTCTCTGTCTGTCTACCGTGCAACACAGCATACCATCATAACCAACCCAATCTCATTCACCTTGATCAGAAACAATCAAGTTCACACGACCGCACCACCATCCATGAAATGGAACCACGCACGCACGCACCATTCCGTGTGGCCAGCTGGTGAAATTCCCCTCCCTCCCTCATTGCGCTGGTGGAGCGAAGGGCGGCATGCCCGGGGGGAAGAACGGCATCGGAGGGGGAGGCATACCTGCACTCACAACCACCACACACACACACACACACACACACACGTGTCATCGTCTTCCCATCCATCCATCCATCCACAGCAGTCACACGCACCGCACCTGGTGGCAGAGTTGGGACGGCCATGGGTGGTGCGGGCATCCCCACTGGCGGCCTGAAGTTCTGTGGAGGGATGCCAGGGGGTGCCAGGCCGGGCGGCGGGCCGGCCATGGACGCGGCTGAGGTCGAGGTGGGAGCCGTCAGGCCCGGAGGGGGACCAGCTGATATATGTGACAACAGCCATACACAAAAGATGATCAACATTGTTGTTGGCGTTGTGTGTCGTGGGGTTCTGGCTCATACCGCTGGCGAGAGGTGCGGGGGCTGTCGGGACATTGGCGAACATGGTGTGTGGCGGGCGGATCTTCAAATCCTTGGGACGATTCGCCGCGATGAGACGCTCTGCTGCTGCACCGTGACGCTCCCCTGAACGCACCAACAGGTGACACACAGAGATCTCATCTCGCCTGTCGTCCGAAGTGTGTTGGTGTTGGTGTGTGTGTCCACAGCACACCTTTGGTGTCCTTTTTGTAGGCGTATGAGACGTGGACGGGTCTGTTGCATAGGAACTGGCCGTTCATGGCCTGCATGGCCGCATCCGAGTACTCGAAGGCGTCGTAGGCCACAAACCCATAGCCCTTGGACTCCCCGCTCTCGGGGTCACGCATCACCTAACACAACACCCACACACCTATCCCATCCACACACGCGCCGCACACTGTGCCAGCCGTGTCAGCTAGATTAGAGGCACCTTCGCATAGAGGAGGACGCCGAAGGCGCTGAAAGTGTCGTACAGGAGCTTCTCGTCCACTTCCGGGTCGAGGTTGCCGATGAAGAGGTTGGCGCCAACCTCCTGGGTGCGCTTGTCCTGCGCCGACTTGTTGCACCGCAGTGGCTTGGTGTAGAGCTTGACCATGTTCATGATCTTGATGGCGTAGTCGCAGTCCTCCTCGCTGTGGAACTCCACAAAGCCATACCCTGACGTACCATGGATGGATGACACGCCACAGATAGACGCACGTGCACACGACAGGCAGCTGGCTGGGTACGTGTGTATGCATGGAGTGGAGCTGACCGACCTGAGTGTCCTCCCGTGACCTTGTCCCTGGGGATGTGGACGTTCTTGACAGGACCGCACTGGATGAACAGCTCCCAGAGAGTCTCCTCGTCCACCCGCGGGTCGAGATTGCCGCAGTAGGCTGTCGCCTCCTGGTTGCGCTCGTACACCTGGCTGATGTCCGCCACGCCGCGGCTTCCCATCCTTAACTATCCTTGACAAATGAAGCCGCTCGGTCGGTCGAACGGGCTCAGCAGTCGACGGTTGATCAAGATCTCGCTCTTCCCCTTCGACTCGCGTTCTAGCTCGCATGTGTGAACGGTCTCAGCTCGCACTCTCCCTTCCCTCCCAATTGCCTCACCCTCTCCCTCCCCCCCTTTCCACGACACACTTTGTAAAGAAGCGGCCTCTTTTTCTGCTTTCTTCCGCCGTTTTCCTCGGCCCCACGAGGCTTCATCCCCGACCTTTCTTCATATAGCCATCCCCGCGACTGGCAAGGCCTTTCACGCCATGAAAAAGGCGGCCCTCGCCTCCGCCTGCCTCATCATGGCAGCCCTCCTGCCCTTTACCGTGGCTGCTGATTCATTCCTGACGGCCACGGTGGAATGCCAGGCTGACGCAATGGTGCTGTGTTTCGACGAGGTGCTCTGCAACTGCACTGCCGAGTGGCTTGACACGTCCGGGGCGCCATGCCCTGGGGTCACACAGCCGAACGAGTACTGCCTCTCTATCCCTTTCGAGGGCTGCCTCGCGGACAACGAGGGCCCAGCCGCGCCAGATCTGCCGGAGGGGTTTGAGGTCATCGGGCAGGTGGGCACTATACAGGTCAACGACACGGTGTTCAACGCCACGGGGCAGTGTCTGCGCAATAGCGACGGGCAGGTCAACATCCCCATCGCCAACGGATACAGGCGCATCCGAGTGACCGGCAACAGCACGTACGACGTGTCGATGACGCTGTGTCGCGATGACGAATGTCTGCAGCCCGTCGTCCCGCCTCAGAAGTTCACTGTCGAGGAGGGGCAGGAGGCGTCGAGCAAGTTCTATGTCGAGGTCAAGCTGGACACCACTAACCTGCCCACCGAGCTGGTGGAGAAGCTATATGTTAATTTGGTGGACTGTTGGGCGGGGGCGAGCTCCCCGCTGCCCGTCAACCTTGGCTATGTAAGTCACGGGCCTTTACCTGGCCGGCAAGGAGACACGATCCTGGTATGTTGTGGCATTCTGTTGCTTAGAAAATGATAGAGGGCGGCTGTGCTCTGGAGCGGCCCATCCCGACTGACGTGTACTTTCAGGAAAGCCACACCGTCCGCTTCTCCACTCCATCCTTCTCATTCGCCGGCACCCAATACGGCTACCTCTTCTGCAGCATCAGGCTGTGCAACGAGCCCGACTGCGTCCCATGCCAAGGAACTTCCACAGCGAGGGCCCTCGAGCCCATCAGCAGCGACACCGTAGCCGCTTTTGGGCCGTTCTTCATCACAAAGGGCGACCTGACCCTCGGACGCCTTTTCACAGACACCACTGGCAGCGACCTGTCCGTGTTGATCATCGGCACCTCCATCGGCTTGGCGCTCGTGCTTGTCGCGCTTGCCCTCACCATCTGGACGGTGCGGCGTCGGAGCAAGCTGAAGGACGCTATGCGGGCGATGGCCACTACGGAGACACAGCGGTCCGGCGTCACGACGAACGCCTCTCGGCTGGGGGCGGTTTCTGAGCGAGACCATGCCAACAAGAGTGGCGGCCACGGGTGGAAGAAGGGCGCCGGTGTGTCGTTCAAGGAGGGGGGCAGCAGCCGGCGGCGCACGATTGGGGCGGACAGTGAGGGAGGGGCGGTGACGAGCATGCGGTCGATGGGCCTCTCTCGGACCTTCACTACCAAGACTAAGGAGGAGGAAAGCGACGGGCGGAGTGTCGTCACGGCAAAGACCAATGAGCTTCTAGGTGAGTGAGCATCGAGAGGAAGCAAAGCAAGAGGACATTTGTTTGTTGTGCTGTGTCACAAATGTCTCCCTCCCTTGCTGTGTCTGTCTGCAGAGACGAAAGACCTGTTGTCGCAAGAGCTTCGTGAGTCGAGAGGCGACAGTATCAGCTGCCCCGTGACAGAGGAAGAGCCAGCCCACGGGTCCCACAGACCCGAAGGCAACGATAGCGACGACAACAACAACGACGCCTGCCCCTACCCCCCACAATGCGACAGCGGGAAGTCCTCCACAGCATCGTCTTCTCGGAGGCCGGTGCTGCAGCTGGGGTTTCTCAAGGTCAGGCGGACCCCCGCTGCCGCGGACAAACACCCCCATGCAGACCCTGAGGGGGAGGGGGGAGAGGGGCAGCAGCAGGGGCAGGATAGAATCGATGTGCTGTTGGAAAGCCCCACTAGGAGGCGAAAAGATGACCATGTGTATGCGTCGCTGGGGAATAATGAGGAGCCGTAGTGGGCCACTCATCAGTCCTTTGCCGTTGCTGTGCTGTGTCGGTTGCTGTGACGTGTGGCGTTTTGTTCGTTGGATGTTGGGAGGGGTAAGGGGCGTCGTTTGCTGGACTGATTTTGGGTTTAAGACCGTGTTCGTGTGGTGTGTCCGTGAGCCATTGAATCCCTTAATTGATGCATGGCGGAGATCAAAATCGTCTTCTAATCAAGCAAGCAGCCAAGCACTGCTACTTCCCTCCCTCCCTCCCTCCCTCCCTCCTCTCACACATAGAGTCCACAGCTACCACCGCCAACACACACACACACACAGAGATCGCCTTTGACGTATCATGCATTAGGCAGCCATCGGCTACGTCCCATCAATAAGCAATCAGTCCCTCACGGCCCCTTCAGCTACATCCATCTCTGCTGCTGCTGGTGCTGGTGCTGCATGTTGTTGGGCAGTGCCCGGAAGGCGGAGGCGAAGTGCTGCTCCCACATAGCCGCACGGCTGGGCAGCTGCACGGGGGCTGGTGCCGGTGGGTATGGGTAGAGTGGCACTGGGCGGCGGAGGTGCATCGTGCCGCGGCCATCGGTGAAGCTATCATCTGCACACACACGCATCCAGTGGGTGTCTCTGCTGTGTCGCATCCAATTGCCCGGATGGTTTACTTTGTTGTGCGGTGGATGTGGTAGGAAGGTATGAGTGCGACCTCGGGAGCACCACAACGTCCCCGTGCGGGAAACGACGGACCGCCTCAGGGGTGTGTGCGTGGCAGTAGGCAGCCTGTCCCTGGCTCTGGCCATGGACTGGCACCGACGGCCCACTGAGGTGTCGGCCGACGGGTCTCGGATGCAGCCAGTGGGGAGGTGGGATGGGCGGGATGGGCCGGACGCCGATCCCCTGGCCGTATGGCGATTTCGTGATGCGGGGTGTGTTCTCGGCGCTCTTGGACAGGGGATAGACGGCCGATGGGACGGGCTGGAAGGCGAAGGGCTTCATCGCAGGGCCAGGGACACCCTGCACGAGAGACAAGACAAGAAAGGCCATGGATGCATCGACAATCAAATCATGCACGGGGCATCCATCTTTCTCTCCTCGCTCGTACCATGTGTTGCACGGGTCGGATGGGCGCCTGGTACGGCGACGGTGGGTTGTTCTGCATCTGTCTCCCCCCCACGCGCACGGCCCCTCCCCCTCCTGCCCCCTCCATGGCCCCCCTGCCAGCCGACTTGGCCATGGGCGGCCTGGTGGCCTGACCCTTCTTGGCCTGAGGAGGCATCCCAGGACCTCTCGCCAGTTGGTAGCCCGGCAGCACACCCGAGTGTGGGTGTGGATGTGGCTGGGGTCTGCTGTAGGGCGAGAGGGTGTATCGGACGGAGGGGAAGACGTACTTGACGGCCGCTGGGCCATAAGGTCCACTACCCCCACCCATCTGCTGCTGAGCGGCAGAGAAATCTGACCAACAGGACAGAACAGCCAGCATCGATGGAGAGATGGATGCAGTGTGCCTGTGTCAGAGTCTTTTTCTCTCACCCACCTGTGGTGGTCTGAACCACTGCGCGAGTGGTGAACGGCGCAGCCCCCCCTCCCCCTCCCCCTCTCCCGTCCCCCTTGTGCTGTGCTACTGGCCTCCTCTCGACACGCTGCGGGTCTGCCCCAGGTATGCGGCCGGGGCTCCCCGTGTCCATGTCCCCCTCTGGCTGCACGAGACACACCGACGGCGAGCTCTCCACCACCCCTGGCGGCTCGAACCTGATGCGCCGCTCCTCAGCCATGGATGTGACGGACGCAGGGGGCGGCACCACATGCACCTGCTGCTGCTGGTGGTGGTGGTGGTGGTGGGTGTCGTCCACCGTCAGGGCGCCCTGATGCCCCTGCCTGGCCACTGCAGCCGCCTTGGCGAGTGACTTCATTGCTGCGATGGCCACGGGGTGCGGTGCGGTGGGGAGGTCGCTGGAGGAGGCCGACTTGTGGTGGTGGTATGGATGGTGGTGGGACCTGTCGGTCATGCCCCGGGACCGCTCGCTGTTGAGGAACTTGACAAACACCTCAAAGTCGCTGTAGGGGCCCTCGCGTGGGCTGCCGTCGCGCTGGGTGAGGGGGCCGGCTGTGGTGGTGGTGGTGAGAGCAGGCGCGTCATGGACGAGACAGGCCTCCAGTTGGGTGCGGCTGCCGGCTACAAAACGGACCTGACGTAGGTGACGGGTGGACAGGAGATGGCACAGTTGATGCTGGGGCGGTCTGTGTGTTGGGTGTGAGTGCGTGTGTGGTGTTGTCGATTTGGGTACCTTGCAGGTGAATTCTCCAAACTGGAACAGGCCGGGGCCGATGCGGCGCACTGTAGAGCTGACATTGGAGCAGACAGAGAGCACACACCGATATGGTGCTGAGCCATTGTGTCTCGCTGATTGGCTGGCTGAGTTACTCGAATATGTCCTTAGCGAGTATCCTTTTGATCTGCCCCTCCAGCTCAGGATCCTCCGCCGCACCCCGCACCCGACGCAGCTTCTCGGTAGACGAACATATCATCCCACGAATGCGCTGCAGCGGCTTCTCACGCACACACACGACAGCACACACACACATAGATACCAACAGCATGATATTCCCGCCACCATCCACTACCTGGACGGACGCCATCGCCCCGGTCGCCGACGCGCTCGCAGCACCCAGGCCCTCTGTCTCCTCCTTGACACGTCCCACGGCCACGGTGGCCGCCTCTCCCCCTCCAGCCGATGAAGCGGTCTCCGCCGTCTCCTGACGACCGCCCATCGACGACGGGTGGACCTCCTTCATGACTACTGCTGCTGCGGCTGGTGGTGCCAGTGATGGTGGTGGGCCAGGCGGGGGTTGGTGTGAGATGATGTCTGCCTGCCCGCCGTCCTCCTGGCCCCCGCCCTCTGGCGACTCCTCCCCATCTCCCTCATCCTCTTCCTCTCCCGCCTCCTGCATTCCCTCATTGCGGCTGTCTACAGGTGTCGGCAACGCCGCCCCTTGGTCGTCTTCACGCTTGAGAATGGTCTCCTTCTCCCTCGGCCGCTGCTGCTGCAACTGGGCCTGTGGCTGTGGCTGTGTGAGTGAGGCTAGGGATGGGGGAGGGGCGTCTTCGGTCTTGGGTGCTGGTGGAGGGGGTGGGTGTGAGTGGAGGGCAATCTGCTCAGGTGGCACCGAGGGGGCAGCTGGCGATTTGTCGGCCACCATCTCTTCCTCGTCCTTCTCCTCCATAAGGGTGGGCAGCGCGGGGCCCCGCCCGTTGCCAACACGGGGCGGCATCGGCTGCGCCTCACCAACCCCCTCTCCACCCGTATCTGTCACCCCCAGTCCCACTCCATCTCTGGGCGACAGGACGGTGTCAGAGAGTGCTCCTGATGCCGCTGCTGCTGCTGCCGCCGCTGCTGTCGCTGTGCCATGACGTGTAGGCGAGTTGCCGTCGCTGATGCCGTCGATGAGGCTGAAGCGTCGCTGCTCCTTGAGGACGTCCAGCTCCATCCGCAGAGCGTTCTTCTCCTGCACGGCCGCACGCAGCCGCTGCACCATCTCTTCCGTGTCGGTCTGGGTGTGGGTGTCGGGGGCGTGTGAGGGGGGGTATGGCATTGGGGCAGGCAGGAGTGGGGTGGGTGGTGGCTGGGGGGTGGTCAGCCGCCTGGCCAGGAGGGCTTTGTGCTGCTCGAGCTCTGACTGTAGGGAGAAGAGCTCCTTGCGCAGCTCAGTCACGTCCGTCTGGAGGGCGGCTGCAGACAGACAGACAGACAGATAACCAAAGAGACAGCGCTTTCATTGCTTGGGAGTGTGTGGATTATGGTATGTGTTTGTGTGTGTGTGTGTGTACCTTTGGCCTGCAGGTCTTCGTAGTGCTGGACCGCCAGCTCGTGGTTGGTCTTGCGCAGGTCGAACACCGTCTTCTCCCAATCTGATCGCACCTGCACCCACACACAAGACCCACCCACACCAAGGAAGGATACACGAGAGCCAGTCGGCCGGGCACGTTGCCCGATGGATGTATGCCCTCCCTCACCTTGGTCCACTCCTTGAGAGCTATCTCCTCCTGCTCACCCTGGCTCTTCTTCGCCTGCAATCCAAAGGATATGACGATAAAGAACAAGTGAATGAGGATCCGGGTGAGGTGGAGTGGTGGGAGGGGTGCTCTTACCATGAGGACGACCTGGTCCATGAAGTACTGCGCGCGCGTCTCGGCATGCAGCCGGGCCGTCTCAGCGTGACGGAACTGGCACCAACAGACAGACACACACAGCATGGTCCTCCCTCTCTGTGTCTCTACTCTCGAGGCTTGTACTGTATACCTTTTGGTCAGCCTGTTCGTATTTCTCCTGTGCCTCCTTGTAGGCCTGTATGGACCGCTTCACGTCCGCCTCGGCCGCCTCCTTGGTGCGGGCAATCCTCTCCACCGTCCGCTCGAGGTCGACGATGCGGGCGTGGGAGGTCACCTTGTCCGTGTCGTAGTCGGCCACCAGACCGTCCACACTGTCGACAAACTCCTGATTCTGAACCAAAGAGGCAGAAAGATTGTGTACCGTGGTGTGTGTTGGTGTGTGTTGGTGTGTGTGTGTGGTGTGTGTGTGGTGGTTTGGTTACCTCTCTCTCTTTGATGTTGATGCTTCGCTGCAGAGTGCGGCATTTCTCCTCGCTCTCCTCCGCCCGGGCCTTGAGCTCTCGCTTGCGGTTGCGGAGCTTCTCGATGATGCGTAGCAAGCTGGCCTCACTGAAAGGACAGACAGACAGACCAACACAACAACAGAAAATAGTCGCATTCGGCTAGTCAATGTCCTTTCCTTCCCCCGCTCCCCTTCCCTTCCCCCTCTCACCGGTCGCTTTTGGAGGCGACGAGCTTGGTGTATGCCTCCACGCGGGCGTCCACATCAGCGGCCAGGTAGACCTCGGCCTCACCGTACTGATAGCGGTCGAGGGGGCCCTCGATGGCCTTGGCCAGCTCGGGTGGCACGCGGTACTCCTCACACATCGGGTCGGGGGACAGCGGGGTCGCCGTGTCGCCGAGGGGGCGGGGGATGGTGCTGGTGTGTTGGTGGGGGATGGCCTGGCTCACGCCATTCAACATTGCTGCAAAACGCACACACACACACACACAGGGAAAGATGCGTATGAGTAAGTGAAGGCACCTCATGTACTCACCTGATGCATGTCGGTCTTCAGCCTTTTTGGCCTGCGCCCCCCGTGTGGGCGGCACCCGTCGGTCCACCCACCCCGTGTCTGTACCACCCAGCCCCAGCGCCAGCCCCAGCCCGCCCTTCCCCGCTGCTATCTCCGTTGGTGTCTTGGGCGACGTCTTCGGCCCCGTCGACCGCGACGACAGCCGCCCGCCACGACCTGGTGAGCTGGTCTGGATGGTCAGAGGCCGCTTGGGTAGTGCGTGGGGAGAGGACGGCTTGCCCCTCTCCCTCTCCTTCTCTCTCTCCTTCTCAGGGCCGACTGTTTGGCGAGATGGTGGCCTGACGGTCGTCCCGGGCCGAGAGGGGGCGTCGCCTTCAGCGTCTTCACCGCCTTCTTTCTTGCGCGGAAGCTGGCCTCTGAGGGCACCCCTGACCGGTCCCCCTCTCTTGGCAATCGGCCGACTTCTGCTACTGATCATCATCCCGCCCCTCCCCTCCGTCCTCTCGCCACGCCCCTTGGTCACGACCCGCTCCTCATCCTCTTTCTCCGTTGCCTGCTCTGTGCTGAGTGGGTCGGCGTCGTGTGAAGCGTCGGGTGGTGAGGGGGCTGGGTTGGTGTGGACCTCTGATGCTTCGACTGTGTCGTCAGCTGCAGCCGAGGGAGAGTGGCGCAGCGCGACGCCAGAGATGAATCCGGGCTGTGGCAGCCGGCGGGACGCGGCTGCAAGTCCTCCCTCGTCCACCTCATCTACATCTACTCGAGAAGCCGCTGCTGCGACCTCCTCCTGCCCGGCCACACCCACACTCGCACCCATGGTCTCCTCCACTCCACTCTGATGCAGCTCCTCGTGCAGCGACGGCCCATCCAACCCACACGCACCTCCCGCTCCCTCCTCCTCCTGCTGCTGCTCCTGCAAGGCGCCATCCACCACTCCATCCCCGTCCCCGTTCAGCACCAGACCACCATCATGGTGCCCCTGCTGGGGGTGCTGCTGGTCGTCTGCAGGCGTCCACTGGGTGAGGATGTGCAGGTCAATGGGCGCGTAGGCCCCTGATGGATCGTACGCCCGGATCAGCTGTGCGGTCTCCTGGCCGGTGGATGTATCGATGGGTATGCGGGCGAAGTAGGACACGCGCAACTCGGACGAGACCGGCGGGGAGGAGGCGCTCGACGAGGGCGGGCAGTGGGGCTCGCGAAGAACCTGACACACAACACAACAGGAGGGAAGGGAAGGAAGATGGTCTGTCTGGTCGGCAAGGGGTTGCTTCTGGGTCCTGTTTGCGCTTACACAGAACTCTACGTGGCCGAGGCATCTGGGATCCTCGACAGGGAAAGACAGACTCTGGAACCAAACCATCACCACACACAGATCAATCAAAGAAATGGCACGCATGGCAGCCAGCGGGATCATCATGATGCTTGCAGGCTGACCTGGCCGAGCAGGTTGCTTGAGCTATACCCCCCAGCTCCCCTGAAGCCGGCACGCACACCAACACACGAGAAAACGCGCCACAGATGGGCGGGTAAGTGGTGGATGTGGTGGATGGATGGATGGGCTTACACTTCAAACGCTGTTTTGATGACTGCGATGGGTTCATCTGTGGATGGCGCTGTGTCCTGCACGCCCCGGATGGTCAGGCCCAGCCTCCCCGCCATCACACTCTCCATGGCGAACCGACGCCCGTCAAGAGCGAAGGAAGCGTCCTCGTGCAAGATCCACCGTCAACCCATCCTCGTTAAAAAGGGGGCACAAAAGGGGGCCAACGCGTAAAGTAAACTTCCCCGACACCCATCAAGACGCCAGATGCTGCCATTTCCTTCCATCCAGCCTTACCCTCTGGCTAGCAGGCCTCGTCCGCCACCCACCGGCGGCGAGTACCATGCCCGCCATGCCCTATCGCAGACCTACACCTACCTGCGGCCTCCTCCAGGGACTGCCGGACCGCTCGCTTCCCATGCGCCGCCCTATGCGCCATATGCCACGTTCCGGCAGCCTCTCCATGGGCCTGTTGCCATGAAGCCCTCGGTGATGGCCTCACCGCCGCTCCCGACGCCCGGTACACGACGGCTCTGTGTTGTCATTCGCCGGATGTTTCTCCATCATGATGTTTTGTTCTGTGTCTGTGTGGCTTCTCAGGTGGGTTTCGTCCGGTACCGGTGAGTTTTCGCCCTCCTCCCACGGGCGTTGCCACGCCGTCGCTGCGGCGGACCACCACACTCGCATCATCCACATACGCGGCCCCGGCATTACCACCCCTCACCAGTGGTGACCGGTCCCGCCCCGTGCACATGATGAGCTACGCTGCCCTCCCAAAGCCTGGCCCTGTGGCGGTCATGGCCCCTCCGCTGATGGTGCAGCACCGCAGCTACGTCCCGCATACGGTGGCCGACCTCCGTACCATCACACGCTCCTACACACCGGCAAAGATGCAGATGCAGGTGCAGGGGGGCGCGGGGGAGGCCCAGCAGGCATACAACAACAAGGCCAGCCGGCCGATGCGCGTGTTGGTGGTGGGGGCGGAGACGGAGCTGGGCCAGAAAGTGATGGGCGCCCTGCTCGATCACCACCAGCAGCAGCAGCAGCAGGGCGAGGAGGGTGGCCGTGGTAGTGGTAGTGGTGGTGGTGGCGGGGTGGGTGTGCAGCTGCAGCTGTCCGTATTGTTTGACAAGCCGGAGAGGGACGAGTTGCGCGACATCGTGGACATGTATGAGCAGAAGGGCGTGAGGGTGTATGACGGAGATATCGAGAATGCACACACACTGAGGGGTGTGTGTGCCGGTGTGCACACCGTCCTGTGTTTGGTCGAGGGCGAGGAGGGAGGCGGCACCACGGTGAATAAACATACCAGGGAGGGGACATGAATGTGCTCCATTGTTGTTTGTTTATGCGGCGGGGTATGTGTGTGTGTGTCAGGGTCCCGTTAATTTGGTGAGGGAGGCCGACGCCTCAGGCGTGAAGCGCTTCATCCCCTCCAACTTCTTCCTAGACTACCGGTTGGTCGGCAGGCCGGCATGAAAACACACACAGGGGACACGCTCCTCCCTCCCTCTCTCCCTCTCTCCCTCTCTCCCTCTCTCCCTCTCTCCTTTCGTTCAGTGAGGCGACGATAGAGGATCTGATTCCGCTGCGTCAGATGAAGCGCGTACGGGAGGAGCTGGGCAAGACGTCCATGGCGGCGCTGTACCTGCACACCGGCATACCCATGGAAGCCCTCTTCTCGGACGATATGGCGGTGGGCGGCCGGGATATCGATGACTCCGGGATGACACATCACCTACACACGTCTACACACCCGGCCCCTTGTCTCCTTGTTGTTCATCAGTTGTGGGACGCATCAGCTTCGCGTTTGTGTTACTACGGGTCGCCCTACCAGGCCCTCGACATGACCTGCCAGGTAAACACATACACACAAGGACAGAAGGCACATGAGGCTTACATGTTTGCCCGCCTTCTCACTTACAGGACGACATCGCCGTGTACATCGCCAAAGTCGTATGCAACCCAGAACTCACAGGTCCAATGGATGGATGGATGGATGGATGGGCGACTGGTCGATGAGACACGTGTCACATGCATCTGTGGCGTGGCGTTGTGTGGTGTGTTCAGGAGACGTGATGGTAGCGGGTGACGTGGTGACGGTCAAGCAGCTGCAGCGGGAGTTCTTCCAGCGCACACAGCAGCACCTCTCGCTCGAGTCCAAAGGATCCATCGCAGACCTTACAGTGAGTGAGAAGGACACACCATCCCATCCCCTACCCGCCCCACCAGCCCCGCCCCACACACCCCTCTGTCTGTTGCAATGCAGGCCGACATCGACCGTCGCATTGGCACCAGCACCAGCAGTGCTGCTGCCGCTGCCGGTGGTGCGGCCGCTGCCAGCGTCACTCTGCGTGACGAGGAGCAGCCGGAGGCCGAGGAGGAGCAGTCGAGCGGCGTCATCCCCCTGCTCTTCGCCAAGAACGTCTTTGACGGCAGGGGCAAGCTGCGGCCCGACATGGAGGCGTTCCCGGATGTGCGGCCCATGAAGGTGGTCGACTTCCTGGTCGCCAAGTAGCTGGCTGGGTGCGCTGCGCAGTGATACGTAGATGGATGGATTGGTAGAGGGGAATTGGAGGGGGGCGGGGGAAGGGGAAGGGGAGGGGGGTGTTTGCGCGTCATCAATGCCGGGCTAGGTGCTTCTATGTGTGGTAGCCATGACCATTCATTCCACGACCTTATCGGCGTGCAGATTAATGAATGCGTGATGTTTGCACGGCAGGCGGCCAGCAATCTCTTGACCCACGACGTGTCTCCACCCATCCATCCATCCATCCATCGACAGGTCTGTCTAGTGTCCGCTCCCTCCCTTGTCTCGCTCGCCTCACTCTACCACTTGGTGCAGCATTCCTTACCAAGGTGCCGCACCCTCTGGCGAAGAAAGCAACCCTCCGCTAGTCGATACATACACGGGACACACACACACGGATAAAGTAAGCTACGCCCGTCGCGTAGAGACGCCCTGCATGCTCTCACTGGCACTGACACACACACACGGATCGATCCAGCCATCTACACGGCCATCCCCCGCCCCACCGACGGACGACAAGACACAGCGACTGAACACACCAAACCAAACAAGTAATTACGTAAGCCTTACAGGAAGAAGATGACCCCTTCCCACAACATAAAAAAGACGCGACACGCACGTGTACGCTCCCAGGTGAAAAATCTTGCCCCTCAGCTGCAACCACCCCCCCGCCGAAGCCCCCCTCCCCAAGCGCAAACAAAGCAGTTGTGCAGCAGGGCTGCCATCCCGGTCGATCACACATCGGGCAGCCACAGGAGGTCTCGAGCGGTCTTGGCAGGTCTGCCGGGGTAGGGCATTGGTGCGGGTGGGTTGGGCGGCTCGCCCTTCTTGATGGGGTCGACCACACCGAGCTCCACCACCCGCTTGGCCATGTCGACGATGGTCTTCTCCAGCGGGTAGGGCTTCACGCCAAGGTCCCTCTGAAACCTGCAGGAGACACACAGACATCAATCACATCACACAAAGGTGCACACATAGACTGAGAGAACAGCATGGCGGGATGGGATGGGATGTCTACTTGCTGTTGTCGAGGAATGGCTCGGTCTCGACCATGTCGCACGGCGGGGGTGTGATCTCGTACTCGGGGAAGGCCTTCTGCACTATGTCAACCACCACCTTGGGCGGCACTGCACCAACCAACCACACATAACACAACACATCCCAACACACCACAACCAGACGCCTCCCTCTGCTCACTCACCGATGTCAGTGTCGCTAATGATATATCGCTGGCCGGCCGCCTTCTTGACCTCCGCAGCGGCGATGTGCGCCTCACCGACGGTCCTGACGTCGCCATGGATGACGGCATAGGGCATGCCGCGGCCGCTGCGGTCCATGAGCATCTTGATGAACTTGACCGACAGCCCGCCGGCCAGCGGCGACAGCGGCGGGCCCCACACGTTGGTCAGATGAAGGCTGACCATCTCCACACCGAGCTTCTTGGCATAGTCCCACGACTTGTCCTCCGCCAACATCTGACACACACACATGGGTGCATTGAATGCGATGCGCGTGGATAGTCTGTGTCCGTGTCTGTCTGTCGTGCGCGTGCGTGCAGTGGTCAGCTCACCTACCCTGGCGTACATGAAAGCGGCGTTGTCAGGTGTGGATGTGCTGTTGCGGTCCTCCTCATTGAAGAGCTTCCTCCCCCCGCCCGGCTTCTCGCCAGGCGCGAACCCAGAGATGGAGGCGAACGAGCAGGTCACGATGATCCGCTTGATGGTCTGCTTGTGCTTCTCGACGCTCGCAAACGTGTCGTCGGCCACCTTGCAGACCGTCTCGATGAAGTCAGGCTGCCCGGGCCGCGGCTTGATGACCGACGCCACGTGGAAGATGACCTCGCACCCCTCGAAGGCCTTGTCGAAAGTGCCTGGTAGGACCGAGGGATCAGTCACACAGGCCCGTGGAAAGGCACTGCACTGGCGGGCTCTCGTACTGTGCTGTGCTGTGCTTGCCTGCGATGAGTGCATCTCCCTCGAAGAGGTGCAGCTTGCCCGGGAACTTCTCCTGCAGCTGAATCAGGTGCGCCATCTTCTCCTTGTCGTCCACGCCGCGAACTGTCCCACGCACTGTGCAACCTGCACGCACACACATAGATGAGCGAATGCAGCGCTTTGCGTATTGTATTCCGTGCCTGACCCTTTTCGAGGAGCTGCCTTGTGAGTTCCGAGGCGACGAATCCATTGGCGCCCGTCACACACACGGTCTTGCCGTCGATAGGCACGCGCTCTCCCATCCTTCGCCTCCCTTGTCTGTCTGTGTGGAGAACGCTTTCCTCCTCTTCCTCTTGAAATAGCTCGCCAAAGCTAAGCTCGCAGATGAGCGGGAATGAGGCGCGAGAAGGCCTGAAAATTATGTAGAATAGCGCCTGAAGAAGCGCTCGAGAAGATCTGTGGATTTGATCGATCTCTCTCAGATCCCCTTTCCGCGAGCCCATTTCGGGAGCCCATTTCGGCATGCCCTTATGGGGCAGGAGCTCTTCCAGCCCAAGCACGGATGCGGCGGCAGCAAGCCCAGCACCGGATGAGGCCACGAGCACAAGCAAACAGACGCCTCAGGCCGCTGACGCGAGGCAGGCCTTCTCGAGGAAGGAGTGCTGGGAGGCCCGTGACGTCTACTTCGCATGTTTGGACCAGCACGGTGGCGATGCTGAGCAGTGCAAGAAGGAGAAGGAGGCCTTTGAGGCGAAGTGTCTGGTCTCATGGCAGAAGCACTTCTTGCTGCAGAAGCAGTACCGCGTTGCTTTGCCCAGCTAGTGCAGTTTGGGGCATAGTGAATGGGGCATAGTGGGTGAGTGGTTTTATCTCTGGCTGTTCGTCTCTCTATCGCTCTCTCTATCTCTCTGTGTGTTGTGTGTGTGGATGGGCGGTGGGTGTCTGTCTGTCTGTCTGGCTGCGTTGGTGACTCAGCGTCGTGTGCTGATTGATTCAATGCATTGCAGCCCCTATATCACCCGCATGGCTGGCTGGTGGTAGGAGTCATTCGACCGATACACACACACACACACACACACACATTCACAGGTCCACCACATGGATGCTGTCATGACACTTATGGATCGTCACGTCTTTTTGTCGCCACGGCCATACCCACCATACCCACCACAGCCACTCACACACACGCACCAGCCGCCGACGATTAGAAAAAGGGCTCTTCTATCATTGACGAGCCGAGCCGCCTCCTTTCGCCCCGCACTCCCAGCTGTAAACACATCAGAGAAGACCATACATAAAAGGACCAAAACAAACAAACGGCAATCGACGGACGAGAAAGAAGCGGCCAGTCTTCTAGTCAAGATCAGTCTGTTGGTACGTCGTGTGGAGAGGGGACAGGCGCCTATCTTTCGGCGCCATACCCTCAATTAATTACGTGTGTTCTTGTACACCCGGCTGAGCTGGCTAAAGATGGTAAATGGTGTGTGTGTTGTGTTCTGTGGCCTGCAGGGTACCTAGCCAGCCCCACACCATCCTAGGTGCTATAACCCACTGCAGGCGAAAACAAAACACACGACGGACGAAGCACAGCACCCTAGTAGGGGTGCAAAAACCGACAAAGAGCGATCCAAGGCCAGCAAACAGAGCAGCCAAACAGCCAAACAGACAAGGCTAACAAACGCGTGTGTGTAGACCACCGCCAGACCAACCAAGCAGCCAAGGGGGCACCACTGTAAGCAGTGAGTGAGAGCCATCCTTCCGTATCCGTGCCCTCCTGCCCTGCTCTTATCTATCTTATTCTTCCTCGTACTGCGTGTGTGTGAGGTGCCACTTGGTGACCTCACTGATCTGCCTGTCATAGCCCGGCACCCTGGCACGGTTGTCGGCTATCACGCCCTCAAAAAGGGGCGCCGACACGACGAACCACTCGACTATATCGCACCCCCGACACACCACCACCAGCCGCCCGCCAGTCAGAGTGGACGCCAGCCCCTCGTACTGCCGCTGCATGAACCTGGGCATGTGGGACAGGCCCACCCACATGGCCAGGCCCACCGCACCGTAAGGATTGCCCAGGGTATTGACGTCCCACCAGTTGGCGAAGAGCTCCGTCCCCTCCTGCCTCTCCCTCTCAGTGGCGGGGGTAAATAGGTTGACCTGCTTCATGGCGCCATAGGAGGTCGGGAACCACCCCACCGCCCCTGCACTCGGGCCCGTCAGCACCACGCCCATCACCGTGCCCTTCCGCGCGCCCCTGCCCTTGGAATTCACCTCCATCAGCACGCCCTCGCCCAGCACGCAGCTGCCGCTCACGTCACTGACCAAGGCGTAGATGCGCCAGATCTGAGGCTGCTTGAGGTGCTTCTCGTCCTCGGTGTCAGGGAAGACGTCTGCCAGCGACTGATGTTACACACCACACACACACAGACACCCAGAAGAGGTCAAGGATGTGTGTGTGTGTGTGTGTGCTGCGTACCTTGGCCTTTGATAACTTCTCGAGAAGTTCCTCCCTCGTCATGCCCATGAGGGTGGCGGGGGCATCGGTCGGTGTGGAGCTGCCTGCACATCCAAATACGAACGCACACACAGCTGTGAGTCCATCGTACGTATCGCATCATGTTTGTGCGCACCTGTGGGTGTGTAGGTGTATGTGTCGGTGGTCGATGCGCGACTCATGGCGAGGTACATGTATCCTCGTAGGTCCTGAAGAGGTCGTCACACACACAGACGAGAACGTCAGTGACCTTGTGGAATGCAATGCATGCTGCAGCCATGGAAAGGTGTGTGATCGACACTGCCGTACCCGTAGCTATTGCCGTATCCGTAGCTATTGCCGTACCCGTAGTTGTACTGGCAGTACCCCTGCACCATATGCGACAAGTACAGCCATCAAGACAGACAGACATGGCTGTAATTGGTATGCATGCCATTTGTGGTGTGAACTGCGCAGTCCAGTCTGGACAGCAGTGTCTTTCCCCTCTTACCTGCATGTGGCTGGTGGTGCTGCCACCCTGTGGCCAGCCGCTCGTAGCTACGTTGGGCATAGGCATGCTGTGCCTGTGCCTCTATCAGCCTCAGCAAATGGCCGTCCCGCAAATGAGACGAGGCAGAGAGCAAATGTCGCTTCGCCAATCGAAAACGCGAAAAGCCCTCCGCTTGCAATGCACGTGGCGCACTCCCTTGAACTCTGCAAAGGAATGCTCGGGAGAGCCGATCTGAATGTTCGTGAAACTGTTTAAACCCTGACGATCGAGACCCGACTCACGGAGCCAGCCGTCCACGGAGCGGCCATTTCGCTCTCCCCCTCAGCCGCTCGTCACCACTGCACACAACAGCAACAGCAGCCTGACTGACCGATGCCAGTGTCGAGTGAGAGCGAAGGCGCCTCTGATCTGCGTATTAAGACGTGATGTGTGCAGCTGGCGCAGCCAGCAAACCTCATGACACTTGACTGAATGACACGTACAAGTAAGTGAGTGTCGCGATAATTACAGACAGTCTCAGATGGCTGGCACCGCACCGAATGGGCAAAAGGCAGGCAGCGTTTTCCCTCCTCACACGTACGTATGCATCGCATCAACGCACCCATCACCATTACCACAGCCACAGCCACAGCCACAGCCTGACTTGAAAAACCAGGGCTAGAGAGAAGAGAAGCCCCCAAACACACAGCCAGGCAGCCAGGCGACTCACACCGCACACCAACCCACCCCATCCATCCATCCATCCGTCTAGGCGAAGTAGTTGAGCGACGCCTTCTTCTTTGCCTGCACGGTCGAGATGCCCTCCATGTAATCCTCGTGGCAAAGCTCGGTGGCACCCCGCCGCAGCGCCGCCATGCCGGCCTCGACACACACGGCCTTGAGCTGCGCGCCGTTGAAGTCGTCGGTGGACCTGGCCAGCTCCTGGAAGTTGACGTCCTCCTTGTTGACGTTCATCTTTCGCGAGTGGATCTGCATGATGCGCGCCCTCGCCTCCTCGTTGGGGTGCGGCAGCTCGATCTTGCGGTCGAGGCGGCCACTGCGGAGGAGGGCGGGGTCGAGGATGTCGGGTCGGTTGGTGGCGGCGATGACCTTGATGGAGGCGTCACTCGAGAAGCCGTCGAGCTGGTTGAGGAGCTCGAGCATGGTCCGCTGCACCTCACGGCCGCCCGACAGCTCGTCGCTGTGCCGCTTGATGCCGATGGCGTCGAGCTCGTCGATGAAGACGATCGTCGGCGACTTCTCCTTTGCCAGCTGGAAGGCGTCTCGCACAAGCTTGGCACCGTCGCCGATGAACATCTGCACCAGCTGTGGACCCGCCAGCTTGAGGAACGTCGCCTGCGTCTGGGCGGCACACGCACGGGCCAGGAGGGTCTTGCCGGTGCCTGGGGGGCCGTGGATGAGGACGCCCTTGGGCGGCTTGATGCCGATGTTCTCGAACCGCTCCTTGTGTGTGATGGGCAGGACGATGGCCTCGACGAGCTCCTGGATCTGCTTGTCCAGCCCGCCGATGTCGGTGTACTGCTCTGTCGGCCGCTCGTCCACCTCCATCGCCTTGACGCGCGAATCATACCTGACCATACGCACACGGCGAGAGAGCACATCGATGACAGAGCATCGTTGCCATGTTGTTTGTGCGTGTCGCGGATGCTTGTTGCTTACTCAGGTGGCAGTTTCTCGAGCACCAGGTATGAGTCCTTGTTGACGCCCACCAGGTCGCCGGGCTTGAGCTCTTCAGGGGGCACCAAACCAATCACAGGCAGAAACACCGTCTGAATGAAGAACCACACATACGAGCGCCATCAGCAGCCAGGTCTTGTCTGCCTCCTGCCTCCTCTGCTGACCTGTCGTGTGGAGGTCTTAAGGACCATGCACTTGCCCTTCCTCTGTGCGTCGACATCGACGGTAGATCCGTCGCCCTCGTCGTCCTCCGGCTCCATGTCGATGAGCTCCACCACGTTGGAGACGAGGTGCGGCAGCTGGCTGTTGAGTTTGATCTTCTCCTTGTTGTCCTTGGTGCGCTCCTTGCACTCCTCGATCTTGGACGTCAGACGCGCCTGCTCATTCTTCATCACCTTGACCTCATTGTCCTGCACACAGAAAGCCGCACGCACACGAACATGCAGCAAAGACGTTCGTCGAGTGTGTGCGTCTGCGGTGGTTGTCCTCACGATGAGCCTGGAGCGCTGCTCGACCTCGGCCACACTTGAGTTCTCGAGCTCTTTGAGCAGGGCATCCTCCTCGCCCATCACCTCGTCCATCACACTCTCCATGGTCGTGCAACCAAATCACAAGCAGACAACGAGGGCGCCTCTGGCAGTCAGCAGCCAGTCTTGTGGGGAAGAAGTGAGGCGAAAACGCGAATCTGACGAAGAGCGAGCTTCTCTGTTTTTCAAGCTCGCAATCGCAGAGTGTGAAGAGTTGCGGCTCTTTTGCAGCGCAGTTGACCGCCTCGCCGCTGAGTAGAGCAGTCGCTTGAAATCTCTGCGAGCCGCCAAAGCGCCGGTCCTCTCGTAGCCTGAGCGCCGCCGCCCCGTCTTGTCCATTGCCTGAGGTGCCCTGAGCGTGCCCATCCATCGAGCGTCCGCATCGGTGTTATAGTCGTGTGGTGTTGATCTGATCAGCAGCCAGCCATGTTGGGCGTGCAGACGGTGGACGACTGTGTGACGACGTACAACAACATGAAGCTCAAGCACAACCACCGGTACATCATCTACAGCATCAAGGACAACAAGACCATCGAGATCGAGAAGCAGGCCGACAAGTCCAAGACCTACGATGACTTCCTCAAGGAGCTACCGGAGGAGGAACCACGATACGCTGTCGTCGGTAACCACGGCACGCACTCCAGGCGGGGCGGGACGGGGCACACACACGCACACACAGGCAGTGCAGGGGCAGAGATGCATGTGGGCTTATGAGAGAGAAATGTGTGCGTCGCTGTCATGACTTGGTTTGCTGTCTGTCTGTGTGTTGTGGGCGTTGGGTTTGTTCAGACGTGCCGTACGACACTGACGACGGGCGGCCCCAGTCCAAGTTGGTGTTTTTCTTCTGGGCGCCGGACACGGCCAAGGTGAAGCCCAAGATGGTGTACGCGTCGTCCAAGGACATCCTCAAGAAGAAGCTCGAGGGACTCGCCAAGGAGATCCAGGCCAACGACGTCTCAGAACTCGCTTACGACAACGTCGTCACAGAACTCAAACGCAAGTGACCGACTCACTCACTCGTGACCGACCCCATCCCACCCCATCCATCCCTAGACGGACCGACACGCACACACGGGGGAGGGGAGTGTGTGCGTGGTGTGGCCTGTGTGTGTGTGTCTGCGTAACGACCTGGCGGACGGAGTGTAGCTAGCCATGTCGGGGATGGGGTGGAGTGGACGCGCGATGGATGGATGGATGGATGGACGGACGGGTGGCTGGTTGCTGCGTGTAGCCTTATCGGTTTGTTTTGACGACACACACCATCCATACGATCGACAACTCTGTGTGTGTTGTGACTGACTGTTGGGACTGACTGACTTGCTGACTGACTGGACAGATCTTCTTCTGTCGATACGTGTATGCCTGTTTGTCTGCCTATGTCGTCTGCCTAGCTAGATCGATCAATCAGCCAGCCAGCCAGCCAGCCAGCCGTGAGGGAGGTGTAAAAATGCGAGCAAGGAAGGAAGAATGCGTATGTATCTGCGAGAGAGGAGTGCGTCGGCCACATAGAATGGGTGCGATAGGGGAGCGGCCAGTGGGGCTGACTGACTGACTGACTGCCTTCCTTGCCTGTCGATAGCTTCTTTTGGGACCCACAGACGCACCCACCCCACCCACCACCCGCCCACGCACACACGCACCGCACCGCACCACACCCATGAACAAGTTATCGCACCCACCCACCAAAGAGAGGGATCACCACACGCGTAGATTGTTTGTTTCAATGCTCTTCCTCTCCAGCTGGCGCTTGATGGATGGATGGTGGTGGTGGTGGGTATAATAGGAGATGGATGAGCCATGCATGTGTCTAGCCAGCTAGCTAGCTAGCAAGCCACCTGCCAGCGAGAGGGCGGCTGCGTGCGATGGATGTTTTGAACGCCTGTCCGCCTCGGCTTCTGCCGATGGCTTGCACGCTGCGCTACGCTGGCCTGCCTGGGTGTTTCTTCAATGATTGTAGGCTGGTTTGTTCTCTTTGTTTGTATTGGTTTCGTATCTACCTAGAGGGGAGGGGAGGGGCCCAGGGGTCTTTCTATTGACGGGACATGAGAGCAGTTTTGAAGCGGCTGGCCGCACCAAGGGTGGTGTGTATGTGGGTATGTGCCTTGTTTGTGTCACTCAGTCGCTCCCTTGTCTGTCTGCGTGTCTGCCCACGGGCATACATACCCACCTCAATCCCTCTCGTGCGTGTGTGGCCGCTTGTCGGCTCGCCCTGTCTCGTCTCTACTCGTCTCTACTCTTTCCCCTCCTGCCGTGTGACGGATTTGTGCTTGCTGAGTGTGTGGATGCCCACTGGCTGCTGCATGAAGGAATGGTTGATGGTCGGACCCTTTTACATACTCGTCCATGCCATGCGTGTGTGCCTGTCGATCAACTGATAATTAGCAAAGAGACCAGAGGACCAAAGCCACCTGCCTTAAATCCCTCACGCCCTCTCACTGCAAGACATACACCCCACAACTAACTGCATTGTCAGTCGTTGGCCTCTTCGGGCCCTTTCCTCTTCCCTACAGCTGCTGCCACACGATCATCCCACTGCCTGTTCAGTTTGTCGCCTTTCAGCCCATCTTTCGCTTGCTGCCGCATCATCTGCCGACGAATAATGTCGTTCTGTACCTCAGCTGGCGTGTGCCTCAAGCCCCGCCTCACAAAGTTAGCCTGGTGGGCTATGATTCCCTGGGCCTTTGTGAGGTTGTCTCTCGTGAACATGAGCTCCAGCGACTGGTGCTGCGAGAGGCTCGTCAGTTTTTCATGCCGCTCCTGCAGCGACGCCAGCTCCCTGCCCTTGCCAGCAGCCGTCTCCTCCGCCCTGTCGGCCTTCCTCTCCATCTCGGTGATGATCCCCAGGTACTCCCGAATGCGGCTCTCCATTCTCGCCACTTTGTCAGCCAGGAGCTGCCTGTGCTCCGTCGCATGGTCCAGGTCACGTCTCAGCCTCGCCTGCTCGTCGTGGCTTCGGCGCAGGCAGCGGCGCAGCACGTCGTAGTCTCTCTGCATGGCCTTGATAGCTGTGGAGCTGTCATTCTCCGCCTCCTTGATCGCATCGGTATGGCCCCTGCACTCCACCAGGCTGGCAGAGACTCGAGATGCGGTGCCCCCCTCGTCTCGGTGCAGAAGGAGGGTGTCGCGAACTCTCTGCTGCAGAGCTTCCAGCTGCTGCCTTGTGAGACCGAGATGCCTGCCATAAAGCCCCAAGAGCTCTTCGTTTTCCCGTTCAGACTGCGCACGGTCGACCATCTCGGTCTCCAGCTGGCTGCTCAGGAGCGAAAGGGCCTCTTCCATCGAGGTGATGCCCTCTCCGTCCAGCAGTGTCTGCACGTCTTGCTCCACCTTGGCTGCATGGAAGGTCGATGTCATGACTGTATCAGGGCCCGCCGACGGCCCGCCCGGCACCATCAGCTCTTCAAACAGAGACACGTGCTGTGTGGATGCGAGAGGTGAGGCGCTCTCACCCCAATCAGCGTCCATCTGGGTGGACGCGTCAAACGCCTCGGCGTGCCGTCTCCTCTGGCTGTTGCGGAGCCACCGGTTGGCATACTTCGCCGCGAGACAAAGGGGTCTGTAGCTGTCTGCCGAGTTTGCGACAGTTGATGACCTCCGATGCGCCCCACGAGCTTGCTGCATGACTGTGAGCTGGTGGGCGAGCCTTTGGTTGTCCTCTTCTAGCTGCTCCTTCTCGCGACGTAAGCTGCACACAAAGAGAAGAACGATGGATTACGTACGATGTCTGTCCGTAAGGTCGATCGATCGTCCGACTGACCTGTCCATTTCACAAGCATTCGCCGCCTGCTGTTCCAAGACGGACTCCTCCTCCGACGTCCTGCCCCGCTTGACCCGCAGGGAAGCTCTGAGCACCATCATTTCCTTCTGTCTCTTCTTGTCATTCTGCTGGGCATCCTCAAGCGCGGTCCTGGAATCGTGCAGCTCCGTCTCCCTCGCCTCAAGATCCCTCGCGAGCGCCGACTTCTGTCTCTGCAGCTCGGCCACTTTCTGCTTGAGCTCATCGGCTTCGTTCTTGGTGACCTGCAGCTCCTGGATCTCCTCCTGCATCTCGTCTATCATGGCCTCCTTCCACGTCGGCAGGCGACGCATGCGGATCGATGACCGCACCGAACGCATCGCAGGGGACGTGTCTGACGAACTGTCGTCGCTGCATGCGTCGCCTGCCGTGCGGAGCAAAGATGGCAGCCCACTGATGGTCTGCCGGTGCTGCGAGTGGCGCGATGGCAGCTGCTGCGGTGATGACGGGACGAGAGAGCCAGAGACACCCCGGCGGGACACAGACGAGCGGCAGGGAGCCGATGCGGGGCGCTCACTGGCATGAGAGTCCTCGGAAGACAAGAGAGAAGAGCCACTTCGGAGTTGCTGTAGGCACTGCGGTGAGAACGAGACGTTGTGGCCCTCGCTGCCGCGGACCGAAGCCTTTCTCAGGGCTGTCTCAAGCTCGACCACACGGGCCTGCAGACTCTCCTTCTCGCTGAGCAGCGACAGCCCCAATTCGGCGGCCTTGTCTGAACAGATGCAGGCATCGAATGAGGGGAGACGATCTCTCCCAATGGCTGCCTCCTTACCGAGTTGTGAGCGCAGTCTCTGCTGGTTTGTCGGCGATTCGCCCGGCTCGGAATGGCGGCTGTCCAACGAGTCCTGGGAAAGTCCCGAGTCGATGACTGGAGCTGCGAATGTGGCACGAGGGCCACTGCGGGCGGCAGGACGGCTCAGTGGCTGGTTCATCCCTCCGTCATCCCCACCAGACCCACGCTTGAGAGCTCCGGAAGACGGCTGCATCGTTCCAGTTCCGATCTTCTGTGCAGTCTGCGCGCTTGATGGGGACCGAGGGGGGGCGGACGAGACGCGGCAGATCTGCCGTCCATCTGATTCCGAAAGGCCAGGGCAGCTCTCGCGTGCTGCAGGCAATTGATTTCATGTGATCCTATGTGAGAAGGGTAAGGTCTCTCTGATAGTCTGACTGACTGACTGACTGGGTACACGTGCACGCACGTCACATCCGAACACCCAGGTACCCACATCATGACCCATTCCCATAGGCAGGCAGCTATATAAATGCCACAGGCGCACACATCAACAGCGTTCGACTACATATGCAGCCATTTGTTCCTTTCTTCGGTCATCAGTGGTAGTATCGCTGCGGCTTCGTACGCCGACTGTCGAAGGCAAGCTGAAACTGAGGGAGGGAGGGAGGGAGGGAGGGAAGGAGGGAGGGAGGGAGGGCGAGATGGCACAACACACGAGAGAGAGGGTGGCGTACACATACGTAAACGCATCGGTGGCGTTGGTCCTGCGTGACTGACATTCCGACCTTGTCGAGTACGTCGTTGATCTGTCCCGCCGTCTTGGTCAGGACGCTCAGATACACAACCAACGCACTGTCGTTGTACTCCTGAACACACCACATCCACACACGGATAAACACACCACATCCGTCCCTGTCTGTCTGTCTGTCTGTGTGATCTCACGTACGTCGAAGTATTCCTTCTGGAATGCCTCGTCCTGGGTCGCCTGGAGCGAACGGCACACCTGTGGACACAAACACGCATGCAAGGCAAGCCGCCCATGGACAGACAGGTGCCTGTGTGTGCTGCCAAAGCGCGCCCGCATGTCATGTCGGGATGATTACCGACAGCAGGCTTCTGAGGATGGCGTGGTTGGCGGGAATCTCCCCTGAGAGAGTCATACACAGTGGGTAGAGCAATGCACGACGGGACGGGAGATGCAGTCAATGGATGTGTGTGTGCAGGAGCGGGTGCCTCCCCCTCCCACCTTTCTTGACGGCGATCAGGTACTTCTGCAGGGCGTGCACTCTGACAACCAAGGGCAAGCAGAGTGCATTCATTGCACACGATGTGATGTGATGTGTGCGTGTAGCCAACCACTTACTTACCGTGTGTTGAGCATCGACACGGCGCTCGACAGCTTGCTCAGATGAATCGCATCTGAATGAAACGAACGCATCGACACGACAGCAATGCAGCCCAGGCCGCCCATACACAACCACATCACGTCGCTCTGCCCGGCCATCCATCCGTCCCCTCTGTGCTTACACTCGCTATTGCCGGTGGTGTGGGCGGCAGCCTTGGTCACGTGATCCACTGCTATGCGCTCAGCCTCCAACTGACCACAGAAAACCACAGACCAAAGGCAGACAGAGATACCAGAAGGTCGGCATAAACCATGCCGCCCGTGTGTCGTGTCGTGTCTGCCTCGCTGACTCACTCACATGGGCTATCTGGTACGACACTTTGTTGAGTCCCGACTCGTTCTTCTGGTCGACGACATGCACCACGCGCTCGTACAGCGACACCGGGAAGTGCTGCTGGGCCGGAGTCACCGCAGGGTCCAGCAACAGAAAATACGGACTCTCGTTCAGCTGCTCAAACTGCCCACACACCACACACACATCGTGACACCTCCACACACACACACACACACACTTCGCTCGACACACATACCTTTCGCAGCAGGTGCAGGTCTTGTTCGTTGGGCTCCTTGCCAACCGAGTACCATCCCAGAAACTCGTAGCTGGGGAAGACCTCGCCGTACTGGCTGAGTCGTGTGTTGAAGAAGTCGTCGTTGACCACCATGAGCCCGTCGACAAGGTCGCAGCTGAACTCAAAGGACGTGTGGATGTCGACACGGCGGCCCTGGATGGTGCCCATGAGTGCGCCGCAGATGCGGCCGCTGCGGCCGTCGCACTTATGACGCGTGTAGTGGTCCGACACGTTGATGGCCACCAACGGATGCAGATATCTGGAGGATGGATGGACAACACACACATGTACCAACCGACCACAGCAGGCCAGCCTTTGTGTTCGGAAGCGTGAGGCGCATCCGCCCGCGCGCATCGTATCGTGCTGATCTGCCACGCCCTTGTCCATGTGTGTGCATCCTTACACTTGCAGCCCTGAGGCCTCGCCGCCCTTGTTCGCCATGGGTGGCTTGTGCGAATGGATCTCGACACTCTCGAAGGCCGGTCGCCGCACCTGAGGCTCCTCCTCCGCCCGTTCTGCTCCTCGCGGGAAGGCAGGTGACCACTGCTGCTCCTCCCGATCAGAAGGTCGCTCGACTGCCGGTTGATGGGCTGGCTTTGCTAAAATCTGCGGCGCCTTGGACACAGGGGCGGCCTTGGACGCACCACACCCAATTTTGGCTTCGTCGCAGCTCTCGCAAGAGAGAGCGGTTTCACGGAAAAAGTTTTGATCGTTTACACGGAAGCATGGGCGACCAGCACGTCTGATCTGGAGTCGGTATGGATTTGCTCACGCAAAGACACAAGCAATCGCAGAAACACATGCGCACCATACGGCATGGATGATAGCAGCACTCTGATATAAACCGAACAGCCCATCAAACGCAATCACACAAGCGACCATCACATGCCCTACCAAACCACTCTGCAACGCAAGACCGACCCATAACAACACGTCCCCAAATCAATCCCTCACGGCCGGTCCTGGCAAACGTGCGGGTTTGTGCCCTGTAGGGCCCTCGAGAGATGAGGTCCTCAGGAAACAGACCCGCCCGCTGCTGTGTCCGAGCATCGGCCGCATGATGAGCGCGGCAGGACACTTGAAAAGCATTCCAGCGCATCAGCGCGACCGACAAAGACTGCCCCCAATGGTTCATGACACCCTCATGAAAAAATGCACGGTCTTCTGCAGAGCTGGCCGGTGGGGGGACGCGCCGCTGCGCCAGACGGCGAAGCAGAGTGAGGGTCTCGCCACCCCAACGGCCGAACGTCTCCGCTGCTAGGGGCACGAAGGTGTAGCCTTTCTGAAGACAGTTGGCACCGTACTTGCGATCTTTGTCGCGCTCCGCCCCTGCAGCTGCAAAACCGCCCTGACGACGTGCGTTGCTGCGGTTGACCTGGGTGTAGTGGGCGGTTGAGTTCTCGGGCCGACACGGATGGACCACCGTGACGTCGCACAGGACACCTTCGCCGTTGATGGAGAAGAAGAGGTCCATGCGCTGACTGTTGGGCTGGGCGTTTGGGGGGGTGATGTCGAGAGACCGCAGGGGCACTTCGGTGACAGCCGTGATGCCCACCTCCGCAAGGATTGCCTTAAAGACGTCCAGCAGGGTGTTGTGCTTGAACACGCGCTCCGCCGTCGCGCGGCTGCAGAGGAAGAAGTGGTCGCCCAGGGTGTCGATGCTTGCTCCACACGTGCATGACGGTGCGAGGCTGGCGAGAGGGAAAGTGATGCCGAGGGTGAGGGTTTCACGGAATGTCTGCGAGCCGGGACGCACACTTCCTTTTCCAGACGCACGTGCTCCTCTGTCCGCACGAGCCATGAGTAAGAAAACCCAAGCCGACCCATCCAAGGTGAGCCACAACGACTCCTGCATGCGACGCCGACGTTCTGTGCGAAGCTGATGTGTCGTGTTCTTGGTAGGTGCAGCCATCGCATCCGGTCGGCCTCGATAGTGATTCCTCTCCGCTCAGCCTGGAGGACCGGAGCCTCTCCGAGCTGGATGAGTATCTCTACGAGCAGCAGCCACAGGACTTCGAACAGATACTACGCAGTGTACGCCCCCTGATGTATCCGTTGAACGAAAGCATCCACGAGCTACATCACAGGGTGACTCAAAACACACACACGACATGCAATGCAGCGCATGGACACCCATCCATCCATCCATCCATTCTTGCTTCCTCGATGCTGGTGTGTGTGTGTGTTGATACCTACATCTAGGTTCAGGAGGTACTTCAGCTGTGTTGTGCGGCAGCTAGCTCGTCGCAGGCCCAAGGCAGCGCGTCAGAGGTGAGACCACACACCAACCGTGACACACAATGGCAAAGAATTGTGGTTGCTGCGGGCTATTTTGTCCTATCAGCGTGTTGGTGCTCAGCGTGCGGTGCTGTTGGGTCTCGTGAGGGCGATCAGTGTCATGATGACGCACAAGGAGAGCACTGATCCATTCCAGATGTTCTCGGCGGTCCAGCTGGCCAACGCCAAATGCGACCTCATCACCGCCATGATAGAGCAACCGGTACCAACACACTTTGACGCTTGGAGCTGACAACACATCACACACATTGACGGTCTTCTTGTGTATGCGGGTGTGTGCATCAGGCTTTGTTCGTATCGCCCCTCGTGACGCTGCCCGAGTCATGCTTCACGCGCCACATCGGCCCCTTCCTCGACACCAAAGACATCATCACTCGTCTGGCCCTCACACACCCATACCTCCACACCGCCTCACGCAAGCCCGCCATGCACGAGACGCTGCGCCTGGGCAAGGACTTCAACAGCGAGGTGGAGATGACCGAGTGGCAGGTGTCGGCGTGGGGGCCGGCATGCAGCCAGACCAAGAAGGCCACCATGGTGTGTCTTCCCGGCCGGGGGGTGTTGACGCTTCTGGAGCACGCCAGCAGCACCTTGGAGCAGCTGCACGCGTGGTCAGATGCGCAGGACGCAGGCAGGGCCACGAAGCCGAAGCAGCGAGAGGGGGGAGACGAGCTGGTCTTCCCCAAGCTGACGCGTGTCGAGGTGGCGGGGTGGTGGATCTGCGTTGCCAACAGACGACGGTGGAAGCCAACGTATGTAGACGAGGGAGGGAGTCGGGATGGCCGGGTTGGTTTGAATTAGTTGTGTGATGGTTGGCTGTCATAACAGGTCGCTGGTTGACGTGCATCTCCGTGACATGAACGCCGACCCGTCCGTCCGCTCGGTTTTTGAACGGATGTGTTCGGGCAACGGCGGCGCTGCGTGCACGGCGTGGCTGGCGGGCCCCGGGCCACACAACCTGACCCTCGAGCTGCGGTGGCACGGCTGGCACCTTCGCAATCTCCAGAACCTGCTGAAACCGTCCGTCAAGTGAGAGGAGGGGGGACAGAGACCACATCCTGGCCGGCCTCCTGTTTATGCTTCCTGTGTACGTGCGTGTGTGTGTGTGTGTTGTGTGTGTGTGTAGGCGGCTCAGCGGCGTCTGGGGGCACGAGATGGGCCGACAGAAGATCGCCGTGAGCGGGCTGCAGCTGGAGGAGTTCCACACTATCGTCATTTATATATACGAGACTGAGCTCGAGGTGCGTGAGAGAGGGAGTGGGAGGCTCAACTGATGGTATGATGGATGGGATGGTGCCTCTCGTGTGTCGGCTGTCAGAGTTTGGATGCGTTTCGAGCTGTGTGCATGGCGCCCAACGGCACCATCAACTTCACGTGCAGAGCCAACGTCCGCTTCGACGTCATGCGCGAGCTGCGGTACCTGGAGGCCCACCCGTCATGGTCCGACATACTCATCAACCTTGCAGCCGCCGTCAAGACTGTCGTGTTTCCGTCTGGGCTAGCTCGGTGGCGGGCAGTGCCACGCGTTGTGCTGCATAGCCTCCCTCAGCTGGTCTTTTCCAAGACCGAGAGCCTGCAGCTGAGCAGTGTAGGTCTTAGCTCTGACCCTCTGCCTGACCCTCTGCTGTCGGGCCTGTCCGATAGCATTTTCCCCAATGTGACCACTATCGACCTGGGGCAGACAGAGGGAGGAGGCAGTGAGCAAGGCCACCACTCTCAAGTCGCTGAGAGAGGTGCACTTCAAGAGAGAGGGTGCTGTGCCTGCGCCCTTTTTCTTCCCTCGCTGCTGCCTCGGTGTGTGCAACAAGTCAGGCCCCCTGCTGCACGTGAAAGCTAAGTATGCCTGGGGCTCCAACGTGTGTTTCGACACGGGCGTATGGTCTCTGTGGGAGGGCGGGGGCGGGGGCGAGGCTGGGAGCAGTAGCGATGGGCGTCAGAGAGGCATGGAGGGGAGGGTCCGAAAGATAAGTGTAGATGCGAGCGAGGAGGACGAGTCGGGGGGCTTGGCGGTGTTAAGAAGAATTCGCGTCGAGGTTAAGAAGAATAGCCAGAAGGAAGCAAAAGAGACAGCGGTAGGCAGCGAGGGAGAGCCGGGGGTTCTTCCGGTGTGCCTGCAGGCCATCGGCAAGTGCCCCCTCCTCAACTCGATCGCTCTCGACTACACACTCGCTTCCTACTCTGTCGATCAGCTAGGAAGCGACACACCCTTAGTCCAGAGCCAGCTGCTGTCGCGCGGCTTTTTGGCTGTGCAGACCAACCGGGACACTGTCGAGTTGTGTCGCGTGTTTGGCTGCCTCTTCCCTCACTGCCTGTCTGAGCACGTGAGTGATCTCTCTCCATCTGCCGTTTACGCGCCCCGCGTGTCGATGGATGACACTGTGTCGCTCTCTGAGGCCGTTTTGGCCCATGCCGGCCTCCACTTCCCCCGTTGCGTGTCGCCCCACCTAGACAAGGAGTGGGAAAGGCGCCTGATACGGTGCATCAATATCGAATCCCGGAGGCGTCTGCGACTGCTGGCTCTGACCAGAGCCAGCAGACGACCCAGGTCGTATGCGCTGGATAAATGGTGCCGGCTGGGCGGGCTTCGTGCATGATGAGCGGATGCCTGGGTGTAGCTGGGTGTAGCTGACTGACACACGGATGGATGTACGGCTGGGTGTGTGCTCTTCGGAGTGCCGTTCTATCTGGCTGGCTGTCTGGCTGCATTCTCTCTGGCTGCCATTGCGAGAGGGTGGAGAAGCCGATCACAATGGATGGGTGGGTGGGTGGATGGATGGACGTTGATGAAGGTGTGTGGACGGGCGGTAGCTTTCATGAGTGCGGGGCAGAGGGGCGTGTGGAGCTGACATACATGACATGTACCTGACTCACTCACACACCACCCGTTGCTTCCCTCTATCTGGCTGGCCGGCTGGTCTGCTTGCACTTCAAACACCCACCCACTCACACAGACACACAAACATAAGGTCAGAGAGGGTGGGCGGAGGGTGTGAGTATGTGAGTTTGTGGGTGGGTGTGAATAGATGGCGGGGGCTGACTGACCATACCATGTGCGTGGGTGCTGTTCAGACAGACCGGTGCGGGTGAGTGTTTGGACGGACGGATTCGGTATTTCTGAAGAGCATTCATTCATCGATTGGCCTTCTGGGTCCGTCCGCATCTGTCCATCCATCCAGCTTTTCCCCAAATCATCGCGAGTTGCCCTTCGCAGAGGGGCAAGGCAGACAGGGCAGTGAGTCTTACCTGCATTGTGCAAGTCGCCACAGAGATCTCTGCATTCATCGTCCTCATCCGAGTTCCGCTGCTGTTGTCGCTCAACGACGATGGCAGCTTAGCCGACCGTGCTGCCGTCGTTCATCCGGATCGAGAGTGCAAGTCACCGCCTTCTCACCACCTTCGTCCTGAGAGTGCTGGACAGGCGATTGGATTCATCGGCAGCAGCTGCAAGGACGGCACTGGGCATGAGGCAGCTCGCAATTGGCGGGGGGAGAAGAAAGAGATGGATGAGGCGGGGTGCCCCTTAAGCGATCCTAGCCAAAGCTCGCATCTCGACGAATTCTCGCCGAGACGCTCCGTTCCGTCCCTTTTGTTTTTTCTTCGTTTCTCTCTGTACTTTGACCATTTTCAGCTCTCCTGCCTTTTGTCAGCCACATCTCCTCCGTTTCTTTTCCGTTTGGGCTGGTAGTTGGCTTGTGTGGCCCACCCCGCCCCCTCCCATGCCTCCTCTTTCGTCCGGACGCCGCCGCCACGTTTTTGATCAACCTCCGTGACACGGCAGGTGGCGACCTGCCTTCTGCAGAGCGGCTGGCGACAACTGCCTGTCGTCCGCCTGGCAGCAGGGCAGTGCGCCACGCATTTCATTTTGTCAGGTGAGCACTTCTTCCTGCGTGTCATACCTATGGTGTGATGGTGTCATACTCCCTGTTTTCAACGGCTTGTCCTTCTTTTCCCTGCAGCCCAAGGTGTCCGCAGAAGTGGCGGTGATGGGCGCGGGCGTCCCTCTTCGGGCGATTCAGAAAGATGCCGATGACACGCGTGACCGGGTGACGCCGCTTTGGAGGCCGTACGGCCAAGGACGCCGCAGCAGCAGAGGTAGCCTAGAGGGAGCCTCAGGGATGCATGGTCGTGTTGAATGGGATGCACGGCGCCACACGACGCATACGGACATCAAATGTGTTCTTTGGGTCCTTGGTTTGTGTGCAGCAGGCGCAACAGGTGCAGCAGGCGCAGCAGGCGGCCGCGCGCGAGTTGGAGGCCATCGAGGCCATAGAGCGCCAGCAGCGGCAGTTCTGGCAGCAGGCGGCACAGGTACGTGCGTATGAAAGAGTTAATGAGTGCACAGAGCTCAGCTGGAAAGAAAGGGGAAACGCACACGACTTTGGTATGATGTGTGTCCGTAAAAGGCCGTCAAGCGCACCCAGCAGGAGTGCGCCAAGCAGCAGCGGGAGGCGCAGCAGCTCAAGGTCAGAGATGGACCCTGCATCTGCATGCACTGGTAGATGGATACGTCTGTGTGTCTGTGTGGTGGTTGCTGTCTGCCTGTGCAGGGGGAGGTGTGGAGGAGGGCGGGGGTGCGTGTGCTGGAGGGCAAGCCCTTCGCCAAGGGCGGGCAGGGGACTCTGTGGCGGGAGGCGGGCGGGCGGCATATCGCCAAGGTACTCAAACAGGAGTACTCGCCGGGCGGGGTAAGGATTTGAGGATTGACAAATGGATCAAGTCGACCTCACCTGAATGAATACACTCATCTCGTCTGTGTGTGTGTGATCTCTGTCTGTCCGTTACCTCACTGCAGATATACTGCATGGGGGATTCCTATGGGCTGTATAGGGCGGGGGGTCTGGATAGTTGCCCGAATATCGTCCGCTATTACGACTCATTCAACACTACCGGGCGGACGGTGCAGATCATGGAGTATATAGAGGGTCAGCCAAGACACACACACGCACACACAGAGAAAGGGAGATGGAGAGGGTACCACTGCACCTGTCGTCATGTGTGTGTGTTGGTTCTTTGTGTGCAGGCCGAGAGTTGTGTGAGTTGTCGGGCGTGGTGAGCGAGGCGCAGATGAAGACCCTTTTCAACGGCATCTTCACCGCCTTGGCCTTCATCCACGCCCGCGGCCTCGCCTATAATGACATCAAGGTCCGCGCGGCAGACACAGAATGCCCGACCACACACACGGAGACCCACACAGGCACACCATTCTTATATGTGCGTTGCGCGGGTGTGCTGTTGCCTCCAGGCCAACAATGTTTTAGTGTGCCATAACGATGCCATCAAACTCATTGATATCGACTTCTTGCCTGTCCGTTGTAGTTGAGCGGCACCTGGTTGTTGACCAGCGGCAGCTGCGTGAGCGGTGGGCCCTGCACAGCCAGACAGAGAGAGAGAGAGAGAGAACGGGAAGCACACAAACGCACAAAATGCCTTATCTGTCGCGTGTGTGTCGTGTCGTGCATGCTGCATTCGTCGTACACGCACCCCGAGTGCACCGCCCATCGGCGGCATGGTCTGCTGGCTGCCGGTGCCCATGTTGTAGTTGCCGCCGCCGATGCCGAGTCCCCCCGCGAGGTTGCCGCCCACCTGACGCAACACAACGCAACACAACACAACACAAGAGACGACACCATACATACAAACAAGGAAGGCATCCCTCCCCTCCCTCTCTCTGTCCACGATTCACCCCACTCCACCCCATTTATCTCTCTATTTGCTGTGCGGTGTGCGGCTGCTTACCGGCCTTGGAGCCGTCATGCCCAGCCGGGCGATGTCGGGGCGCACGCCCAGCGGGACCGGCGGTGCACGAACACTTGCACGAAGCTGCAGAGGGCATCCATCCATCCATCCATCTATCCGTGACAGATGAGCTGGCCGTCTCTCTCTCCCGCCGCTCACCATGTCAGCGAAGGTCCGGGGGTCGCCCAGGTGCCCCACGATTTGCTGATGGACAGCAGCAAGGAGAGGAGAGACGGACACGACACATCCATCCATCCATTCATTCATTCCATGGATGGATGGATGGATGGATGGATACGGTGCGCGACACACACACGTCCCATTCACCCGATCGATGTTGTCGTTTTGGCCAGAGCCCCCAGCACCCTGGCTGTTGTTGGCAGGGGTGTTGCCGCCGCCACCGAGCGGCCCGGCCCCCGAAGTCATGCCGCCCTGCTGGACAACCTGACACATCCGCAAAGACGATGGATGACATTGTGCGTCTGTGTCTTCACCCCCCACTGATAGGCCCATTGTTCGTGTTGCATACCAGACTGCCCCCGCCCCCTCCCCCAGCACCAGCACCACTCACCCCGCCGTCACCACCCTGATGCAGTCAGGCAGAACACAGAGAAACGGAATCTGTCTGCCCGTGTGCTGTGTGTGTGTGTGCGTCGGTCAGTCACCCCGATGTTGTTGTCATCAGCTGATTTGCCCTCCTCCTGCACACGCTGCACACACACGACGCACAGAGGGGACCGAATCCGACCCATCTAGTTGGTGTGTGGTGTGTGTGGCGGTGCAGGTGTGTGGTGGGTGTGTGCGGTATGTGCAGGTGATGGTGTGTGGTGTGTGGTGCATGACCTACCATGTGGTCGTCCTGGTCGTCGTCCTGTTGGACAGACTCGTGCACCGCACCCAGCCCACCGCCGTTTGGGGTGGCTGCCCCGCTGCCCAGCGTGTGGCTGGTGTGCATCGTAGTCGTGGCCGACGGGCGGGCCGCAGCAGCAATCTGTCGCGCACACACACAATGCACAGAGAGATGTGCAAACCACACACACACATGACGCACGTGTGTGGGTGTGGGTGTTGTGTGTGGAGGCGCTGTCATCCAGCCATGGAAGTACCTCTTCGGTCCCATTGCTCTGGACGTGGTTGTTGTTAGAGGCCGAAGCAGACTCGCTGACCTGAAACACAGCACCCGCGACGCCGACGTGCGACCTAGTTTGGCTCTCTCTGGTGGCGACCGTACTTCAGCGTCGCTACGCATCCCCACCGGCAGCAGAGTGCCCTCGGCGCCTTGCTGCACACACACATGCACGCCAACCAACGGTGAATTGCCATCTGCCGACTGTGTTGTCCTGCAGCCTACCTCCTGCCCAACCGGCTACGCGCCGTCAGCCCATGGATGCCGCACCGACCAACACAGCACACGAAGGGGAGAGATCTCGCTTGTGCGTGTGTGTTGTTGCTCATGTCTTCGCCTGACTGACCTTTGGGAGATTTTCCTCCCCCGCGCACAACGAAAAGGGCCACAAGCGCCTCAGTTTATCCAAGAGCGACGACATCCAGGACGACATCGCTACTGAATTCTCTCGGAGCTCGCCTATCCTGGCCAAGCGAGCTCAGCAACCTGGCCTCTCCGGTTCAATGCGCTCTCAAACGGGGCGCTGCCGCGAGCATGAGCTGCACGAAGGCACCGGGCGACTACATTGGACTGCATGCGCTGATCTGACTCACGCGTCGAGCAGCACAGGAGAGTAGTCAATATTGCCTCGAGGCAGCCCTGTGATGCCAGGGGATCTGCTCTGATGTCCCGTCTGTGGTCGGAAATCTGAAATCTAAATGGCTGGTCCACCTGGGAAAACTGGCTGTCTTCCAACACACACACACACACAAATGTCCACAGTCACCACCCGCCCTCCATCCTCAGAGCTAAGTACAGCCGCCATCGCCGCCCCTCCCTGCTGCTGCTGCTGCTGCTGCTGCTGCTGCTCTGTCGGTGCCTTCGTTGTGAGATGTGTGTGACTTGATGTATCGACTGGACATCTCATGGGTTCAAGTGGGTGATGAGTCTTGGCATTCATTTCTCTGTCAGACAGCGCGTCATGTTATTGATTGAGCCAAGGCGACTGACTCATCCATCCATCATTCTCTCTCTACTAGGCCCACACAGCGATATGCACTACAGCCAGCTCATCGGGTCCTTCCCTCAAGCCGTGCAGTGCAGCCCTTCGCTGAGGAACCCTTCCCTCCTCCTTACCTCCTGGCTGCGTCTCTGGCGGCAGACGTCAACAGATCAGAGACGCACGCGGACATTCCAAACACGAGACGGCAGGTAATGGTGTGTGCGGTAATGGTCTGTGCAGTATGGCTAGATGCGGCCTTTGATTTGCTGAGTAAGGATGGTCAGTGTCTGTCTGTCTGTATAATGTGTGGCGTATCTCTGCGAAAGACTTGTCGACAATCGCCTCCATTGCATTCGCTCGTTCAGTTAAGTACGATGTCTGTGAGTCTCCCTCCCTCATCCCGTCGCTCCTTCTAAGCTAATCACACCCAACACCTTCCCCCCGCCCCCACCCCCAAGTGCCACGGTATACACACACATACACACCACCCCTCCCCGTTCCCCCCAGCTCAATCACCTCGCCAAAAACCCAAAATATGCAGACTGACTGACTGACCTACATGAAAAGGGCCGCGCACACGCCAAGGCAAAGAGGGGGCTGGCGCCACGCCGCACACGCACACACACCATGGATCAATCTAGGCACAGATATGTGTAGCCATGGGTCGACCTCACACAACCACACCCCCGGCCACTGACCGCACCCGACAGACAGACAGTGATAGTGTGTGACAGTGTGTGGTGTGTCGCGGTGCGATCAGTGGCGGGTGAGGTGGTTGTGTGAGGTCGCCGGATGGTATGGGTGTGCACACAGCTACATTATATAACCCTCCCCCTCTCCCTCGCTCCCCCTGCTATCCCATCTACGTATGTCTACCGGCAGGATGGATCATCGCAGAAGGAAACAGCAGATCGGACGTCTGACACCAAGTCACACACACGCAGACAGACGCCACACATGACCGCCACGCCCATCCCGAGTGGGTGAGTGCGTCCATCCCATCTATCCTTCCCTCTCTGTGTCTGTCTGTGTAGCTTACATCTGTGTGGTATCTTGTGTGTCTGTCTGAGTGGTCTAGTAGGGTCGCTGGGGGTAGTTGGGGGTAGTTGGGGGGTCGCTGGGGGCCGTAGTTGGGGTAGTTTGGGGGGCGCTGGTACGCCGGGCGGGGCGGCATGATGGGCCACATGATGGGCCGCATGGGCGACATGGGTCCGGGAGCCCGGACGGGCATGTGTGCCCGGGGGCCGTGTGGCAGTGGTGCTGCACACGCCACACGCACACAGCCACCCATTCCTCGCACCCCTTCCATGTGTGTGTTTGGATCTGTGTGTGCTGACTGACCCATCGCCTGTCCGTTGTAGTTGAGCGGCACCTGGTTGTTGACCAACGGCAGCTGCGTGAGCGGTGGGCCCTGCACAGCCAGACAGAGACAAGAGAGAGAGAGAGAGAGAGAGAAGGGGATGCACACAAACGCACAATGCTTTGTTTGTCGCGTGTGTGTCGTGTCGTGCATGCCGCATCCGTCGTACACGTACCCCGAGCGGACCGCCCATGGGCGGCATCGTTTGCTGCGTGTCGGGGCCCATGTAACGCGTGTCGTAGTGGCCGCCGCCGATGCAGAGCCACTGACGCCACACGTGTGGGTGGCCCGCGAGGATGCCGCCCACCTGACGCGACACAACACAACAGACGACACCATACATACAAACAAATAAGGCATCCCTCCCCTCTGTCTGTCTGTCTGTCCATGATCCACCCCACCCCACTCCACCCCATTTATCTCTCTATTTGCTGTGCGGAGCGCGGCTGCTTACCGGCCTCGGAGCCCTCATGCCCAGCCCGGCGATGTTGGGCCGTACGGACCCGGGGGCCAACGGTGCACGAAACTGCAAAGGGCATCCATCCATCCATCCATCCGTGACACATGAGCTGGCCATCTCTCTCTCCCATCGCTCACCCGGGAGGCAGCCGGACGTACGTTGTCCCTGGGTGGCAACCGGACGAGCGGCACGGACCCGGGGATCAACCGTGGACGAAGCAACTGCAAAGGGCATCCATCCATCCATCCATCTATCCGTGACACATGAGCTGGCCGTCTCTCTGTCCCATCGCTCACCGAGCGCGGGTCCGGCACGATTAGCTGATGGACAGGAGGAAGGAGAGGAGAGACGAACACGACACATCCATCCATCCATTCATTCCATGGATGGATGGATGGATGGATGGATACTGTGCGCGACACACACACGTCCCATTTACCTGATCGTCGGGGTTGTCGTTTTGGCCAGAGCCCCCAGCACCCTGGCTGCTGTTGTTGGGGTTGTTGGCGGGGGTGTTGTGGCCACCGAGCGGCCCGGCCCCCAAAGCCACGCCGCTCTGCAGGACAACCAGACACATCCGCAAACACGATGGATGACATTGTGCGTCTGTGTCTTCACCCCCCACTGATAGACCCATACATCGTGTTGCATACCAGGATGCCCCCAGCCCCTCCCCCAGCACCACCACCACCACCACCAGCACCAGCACCACCCCCAGCACCAGCACCACTCACCCCGCCGTCACCACCCTGATGCAGTCAGGCAGAACACAGAGAAACGGAATCTGTCTGCCCGTGTGCTGTGTGTGTGTGTGCGTCAATCAGTCACCCCGGTGTTGTTGTTGTCATCAGCTGATTCGCCCTCCTCCTGCACACGCTGCACACACACGACACACAGAAAGGACCGAATCCGACCCATCTAGTTGGTGTGTGGTGTGTGTGGCGGTGCAGGTGTGTGGTGGGTGTGTGCGGTATGTGCAGGTGATGGTGTGTGCCGTGTGGTGCATGACGTACCATGTGGTCGTCCTGGTCGTCTTCCTGCTCGAGCGGCCCGCGCACAGCGTTAAGCCCACCGCCGTCTGGCGTTTCTGCCCCGCCCAGGGTGTGGTCGGTCTGCATTGTGGTCTTGATGCGCACCAGACCAGAGAGTGAATGCGACAGAGGGTGCGAAAACAACCTGCCACCAACACACACAACACCACCAACGCGACGGACACTCTCAAGCCAGCCATCCAGTCAGTGTGTGCGATTGCGAACCAGATAGTATTGTACAGCGCACCCAAACGGAACAGCGAGGCGACAGAAGAGTGCGAAAAACAACCTGCCAGACAACACCACAACAGCACAACGACGACGCATGGACCCGCACACGAACACAAACACATATACGTCCATTTTCGTGCCCTCGTTCCCTTTCCGTGTCCACACCCATTCATACCAGAAAGGCAGATGGGCGATTCAGGTGAGAGGGAGACGATAGCCAGGCCCTTAGCAGTGTTGTGCAGCAGCGATGGCAGCGTTGACCTGCACACGCTGCACACACAACCAACAGAGAGGGCAACCAAGCGGCCATGAGCGATGGAGGCGTTGAATGGATGAGCGAGTCAATGCGCTGGTTGGCTGAGTACCTGAGTCTGGTTCATCTGAAGGCATCCTATGATCAAAAGCGTGAACACACGCTGCGGCAAGAGCTGCTCACGCAGTCGCATTGCAATCATCTGCACCACACCGACCGGCGCCATAACTCATCGTGCGTTGCTTCAGCCTTGCTTGGCTTTCTGGTATCCCTTCTCTCACCCGTCGAGTGCGTAGTCCATTTCGGTGAATGAATGACTCTTCCCTGCCAAACACAAGTTTCATAGGATGCAGCTGGCCCTCAACTTCTGCAATGAAACCCAAGAGAGCGGTTTCACGTAATGTCCTGAGCACATCTTGCGAGCTAAGATAGCTCCTCTCACAGAAGAAATGCAAAAGTTCTGAAGGATGCTTTCCAGCACCTCCTGGGAATGCTTTCCAGGACGTCCACACTGACATTCGTCCACTCCGCTACGCATCTGCGACGAGATCCAGCGAAAACTGCACTGCTTCTACAAGTCAGCCTTCACTTCACCATCTGTACCTGCCGCACACGTCCTCTTCCACATATCGACGTCCTACCCTGTCGAACGAAATGGCTTTGGAGGCATCTGTCGTCGCCCCCGTGCTGCTGTTCACTGTCCTCAACGCATTGGAGAATCTGGCTCTATCGTTCATCACTGCAATCACACGAGTCAAAACGGGTGTGCTATTCGGCTCGGGAGCCGCCAAGGTGAGAAGAGAGCAGACACGGAGAAGGGCCGTGCTGACGACATTCATGGTTGTGTCCTGCTTGGATGTGCTCGCGGGTATGCCTTTCGTTTCAGGCTGACTCAGAGGATGGCGAGGCGCACGTAAGCAGGGACACCTCCCTCCTCCTTACTCAGTACAGCAGGGCCCACGGCAATCACACTGAGATGGTGAGTGAGCGTTGGAGTGACGACTGGCACAGCGCGGTGGCTCTCTATGTGTGTCTGTGAGTGTTGCAGATTGCTGTTCACTTGCTGCTGTTGCTTGGGCTGACGCTTGCCGCGTCTGTTGAGGGTGTCGGGTATGGGCTCACAGAGCTCGCCCTCTACATCTATGGCGGAATCTTCTTCGTGCTGCGGGTAGGTGACGTGACATGCACCACCACAGACACGTACCAAAGACACTCACTCTTCGTGAGGCGGGTTCTCACTGTGGCTTCTGTCATTCAGACGATGCACACGTACGCGCTGCTGCGGTCCGATGCCTTCGAGAAGGCGCATATCTTCAGGCCGATCGGGTTCGTCGGCAATCTGACTCTCATGGGTGCCATGGCAGGTACGCGGCTGACAGGAAAGCATGTAACTCACAGCACGTGCCTGTGTGTGTGGTGTCTGCGTGCAGTGCATCTGTTTGTGGGCTACTTGTCCGCGGCCGGCGCCATCTAGACCGACATGCGCGCGGGGAAAGAGGCTGGAGTGTGGATAGGTGGTGGTGTGTATACAAATCCCTAGGGCTCCTCTATCTCTGATCTAGGGGCTGTGCAGACTTTCTCATCGCGCGCTCGTGTTCATTTGCTGAAGGTGAATTCGTGTGTGGGTGGGCGGGGTGGGGTGGGGTGGGGCAGAAAGGCAAGGCTTGCTGCACTGCATTCAGACGTACTGACACATGATGTACTTGTATGCATATCGTATCGGTTGCAAGGACCTTCTTGCAATGAATGAACAAATGGACTGCAGGACGACTGAATGCACGCAAAACAATAAATGCACAGACAGCAACAGAAAGAGCACAACCCTCTCTCTGTAAGCATCGCTGGCTGCACCCAGTCAGTCACGTCAGCGTATCCTTTCACACGCAGACAGACGCACGCATACCTTCACACACAGCCCTCCCTAGCAATGCCCCTCCCGCGCAAACAGTCCCAGCACAGATGTCTCGTCATCACACATGGGCCGGCTCATCTCCGGCACCCACCGCTGCACGGGGCTTCCCTTGGCCCTCTGCCCGTCCTTTGCCTGAACCCTCCTGCCTTTGCACGACAGGGGGGGTGACGCAACCTGGCGTGCAACCGCGACCCTTTTCCTATATCCCCCACCCTGTACGAACAGCGACTCGGTGTCGACTTGAGCGGTGTTGTCATTGGCTTCGTCTCTTCTGTCGGCTGTTGTGATTGAGGCGGGGCTGGGACCGAATGGGAAGGGGAGGTGTGGGGGAGGCTGGGCGAGAAGTGAGGAGCGCACCTTGAATGGGGGCGGGTAGATGGCGGCCACGTCTGCAAAAGGGTTGCATCCGGGCGAGAACGCTGGGATCATTGGGCTGTCTGTCTTCCGCAGCCCTCGTCTCCTCCTCTCCCGTTCATGCCGCTCGCGTGTGGTGGGTGCGCTTCTCCCCTCCACCCCATCATGAACGCCGCCCAGCCTGCTGCCCGTCTCATCCCTTCTTGGCACCTCGATGCGCATCAAAGGCCGCGTTTGCCGGTGTCTCGCGGGAGACGATATGTGCGGGGAGTCGGGCGGCGTCATGGACTGCTGTGCCCTCTCCGCGAATGGCCGCTGGTATATCACCGATAGTCTGCCGGTGTGCTCATCGGGCAGTCTGTTCTGCGTGGTGTCTCTGAGACAGTGCACCCAGTCAGGCGTCAGCATGTCATGTTGTCGTCTCACGAGCCCCGACTTGGGGCGGAGGCACTCCTGCGGCCTCACAAATGACGTGAAAGATGGAGGGGTCGACGGGCGGGGGATGCTGAAGGTGCCGACGGGGTGGTAGTTGAGGTGGCTGTAGTCGATCTCTGTCTCCCCAAGATCGGCCGTGGTTGGCAGGGTAGAGAAGGACCCACAACGGACGGCGCGACGGTTCGATGATGAAATACGCTTGCGAGAGTCCGGATCGAAGTGAGTGTGCCGCTTGCCGCTGCTGCTGCCGGGGTGGACAGACTTGGATCGGCCGTGCGTCGGTGCCTGGCTCTTCCTTCCCTCGGTGGGCGTCCTTGACTTCCCTGCCCCTCCCTCTGCGTTGGCCTTGGGGCCCTTCTTTTTGTCGCCCTTGCCGTTCTCCGTCATCGGCAGTGTATTGCTGCGAAGGTGTGCCTGCGAGACACCAGTGAGTGTCTCCCATATCTGCAAGGCGGCGTCAAAGAACGGCACCATGGATTTCTCGCGCTCAGGAGTGGGGTAGAGGCGCTTATAGCCTGGAGACAAATAAGTACACAAGCATGTTAAGAGCCCTTGAGAGAAAGGCAGGCCGGCACTGACCTGTGTATGGCAGGTAGGCCTCTTCCCACTGTGATCGCTGCTCAGCCACGCGAGCCACTGCGACAGCGCGGTCCGCCCGCCGCTCCGCCACAGTGGCGTTCTTTCTTCTGCCGCGCATCAGACGGGATGCAAGCTGAGCCTTCAAGCTCGCCTGATACCTGACGAGACGGATGACCACACACGTGCCCAAATGGACGGTGTGTTGGTAATTACTTGCGTCTGTTCTCAGGTTTGATATTGAGGAGTGCGAGTGCGTCGCGGAGGACGTGGAACTTGACGTGCCGGTCGAGTGGCGAGTCCACACTGAACGAGGGAGAGTGATTCACCTGCACCAATGGCAAACAACAAACAAACAAAGAGAATGATGAGCTGAACGAGGCAGCTTTTCGGCGTGTTCTCACCTCGATGAGCCATGGCTTGAATCGGTGGTCGATGAGTATGTCGAATCCGAGGACCTCGAATGACATCTGGTTGGGCATGTCGTGCGGCTGGCAGCTGTGGTACACGTGCGCCAGAGTCGGCTGCACCGCCACAACCGTCTTGACGATCATTTCCTCGACCTCGGCCATCAAACCGGGCACGTCACATCCCTGAAGAGACACCAGCAATTGGATGAGACACGCACCATGCGATGTGTGAAGGAAGGCATCGATCACTCACTTTGCTCGCCAGAATCTGCATGAACTGCTTGAGGCTCCGCTTGTGTCCCGAGAGAGCCTCATGTCTGCTGTCAGGCTGCTCGAAGTGAGCCGATCCTCGGTTGACGGCGTAGTTGGTCAGGTGCATCCGACAGCGATTGAGGTTCTTGCTGTTCGGCGGGGCGTACTTCTCGGTGGCGAAGCGGACAAGACCCTCTTGATGCAGAAATATCTGAGGAAATAAGAGGGGAAACTGCAGTCCCGTGTTTTCGGTTGTGTGCCGTGTCTCACTCTGAGAGGGTCGCATCCCGTGAGCAGCACGTAGAGCCTTAGGTCGAACTTCAGCCCGTCCACCAAGAGAGGCTTGTGGACATACCTGCATACACATCCCCACCACGCATACATAGCGCCGATCGATTGGTCCCCGCCCGTATACACATACACACCACCTTACCTCTGTGCGACATATCTCTCCGTGAGGTTGACATCCTCAAACCGTCGTATGAGTTGGATGCCCCTCCCTTGGCTCATGGCCTCGGGCTTCAAAATGAAGGTCTTGGGCTTTCGACGATTCGAGAACTGAGCCTTGAAGCTCGATGTGTCTGACAGACAGAGAAGCGAGAGTGTGAGCGATGTGGATCCACGGAAAGGGCGCCTATTCACCTGTTGGAAGTATCCATGTCTGTGGGAAATATCGATACGCCTTCGGGAAGAACTTCTTCATCCGCAGCAAATTCCGACCAAGAAAATTCTTTCTGAGTACGCAGGGGGAAAAAGACGATGGACGCTTCTGCAGTGATCCCCGATGCGTGTCTTGAAGAACCTTGCTATGGCACACGTGCCGACAAAGTGGTTGATCTTCTGGTAAGGCCTCATACGAAGCAGCCGGTCGGCAGGGATTGCACCATCCGTCCAAAACAAATCCTGCATAGATGCAGCAGCAGACAGAGGCGGCTGTCCATCGGCGCCTTAAACATTCCTCTCACCCAGCCACCCACCCAGTCGTCGTCTTCGTTCTCGACCTCTTTCCAATGTGGAAAGCTCTCGCACACATCCCGGATCAGGTCGTAGTGTGTCTGGAGATAGAAACACATTTTGGCCACCTTCTTCTTTTTCTTCTTGGCCGCTGCGGCCGTCTCCCTCTTCTTTGCAGCAGCGGCAGCGGCGGTAGCTGCCGAATGCCCACAGCTGACTGCCCGTGTCTCCCGGCCCCCAAGCCCAGATGGCCCGCCTCTTCGTTGTCCGCCACGCCGTCCCCTGGCTCTTGTATCCGGCCGTTCATACTCATTCTCCTCTGACCGAGGAGTTGGCACAGCGCTCTCCGTCTCGTCGATATCCTCGTCCTTAGCTATCAGGGCATCATGGTTGTCTCTGCCCTCTGCCTCTCTGTCTCCCTCGCTTTCTCCCTCCTCCTCCTTGCCCTCGCCCTCAGCCTGCAATGACTCATTGTCTTCATCCGTGTCTTCCTCTGCATCATCTGCATCGTCGGCCGACTCAGATGAGCTCTCATCGTCATTGTAGTCCGGCCGCCGATGCGTGGCCGATGGGGCGAGTCGCGGCAGGGCGTGATGGGCATGGTAGGCAGGAGGGGATCGGCGGATCGGCGGTGGCAGGGCTGGGTGATCCGACTCGGCGTCCAGCGATTCATCCTCCTCTGGCACACGGGCACACAAAAGCAGGAAGGCGAATGCCACACTGCAGTGGGGCCTTAGTGCATTGCGCTTTCGACGTACCGGCGATGGATGGCTGGTAAAGGTGCCTCTCGTAGTCCTCAAGGCCTGACAGGCCCTTCAACAACGCCATCATGTCTGCTGCGGTGCAAAGACGGGGGGCTATCTCGCAGCCCCCACCCCGGGCCGGCCCTCCTCGTCTCTTTCCCTCTCCCCCCACACGATGACACTGCCCTTCACCAAGTTGACAATGTCCCTCCTGCTGCTCGTCTTCTGGTGTGTCGCCAACCTCACAGGCAAGCAACCCACTCACCTCTCTGTGTGTGTGTGTTCTGCCATCTCTTGCCTGTGAGGTTGTGCCTGTGAGGTTGTGGCGACTCACCGTGGTCCTTGGTGCGTGCAGGGGCAGCTGGTTGCAGCGCGTTTGACTTCTCGTCCGACTGTGTTGGGGAGGAAGGCCTCGGTAAGTCCCTCCAGCGCCGGGCCCCGTGCACTTCATCTTCATGTGTTTGCTTCCGCTGTTCGGACTCTCACGTACATGCAGCTGGTGTGTTTATCATCCTCATCCTCTGCGTCATCTTTGTCGGCGCCCTTGTGGGGGGTGCCGTCATCGTCCTCAAGGGCGCGCCCGTCGCCAGGGGATGGAGCAAGGTGAAGGACGAGGAGGTGCAGCAAATCGAGGAGGGCAGCCCCATCGGCGCCGAAGACCCCCAGACCAAAGAGGAGCCCCTGACAACCATCGCCACGGCCGACAAGCCGGAGGAGGACACAGACACGGGCGACAAGAAAGCCCCCGCACCGGAGAAGGAGACAGAGCAGGAGATGGCCGTCCTGCCGGGCGAGATCCCCGCTACTGAACATGAGCAGGAAGCTGAGGTGCCCGCCCCCAAGGAAGAGGACAACGAAGCGGCGCTGCTGCAGCAGCAGGAGCAGATGCAGCTTGAGGAAGTGGCGGCCGCTGCAGAGGAGGCGGAACAGCCCCAGGGAGATGAGGAGCCACTGGCAGAGATGCACGCGGCCGCTGATGATGCTCAGGATGCAGCAGCGGAGGAGCAGCCCGAAGGACACGAGACAGAGGCACAGGAGGCAGAGGCAGAGGGAGAAGAGGTGGCAGCTGACGAGGAGGCGGTGGCAGCTGACGAGGAGGCGGTGGCAGCTGACGAGGAGGCCCAGGGCTGAACAAGACACATCCATCGCTAGATGCACACACCCAAAGACGACAGTCATTCCTTCCTTCGTTTGTTGATGCAGTCCAGGAGAGTGTTCTGTGGTAAGAAGCCAGGTACTTGCTGCACAAGTCCTCAGATAAGACAGCTTGTAGCGTGTCTTTTTGGTCTAGCGGATACGATTTCGTCTGCCTGCTGGTCTGTCGGTCGTGTGGTGTGGTGTGTGTGGTGTGACTGACGCGGTGACTCTTCTTTTTCTCCTTGCTCTGCTTTCTTGTCTGAATGCAAGACTTGCTGGGTGCGGACATTGAAAGGACCGGTGATGAAATGGAAGGAGAGCATTCCGTGTGCATGTGTTGTGCTTCAGAGAGAAAAACATGCCGTCCGACAGCTCTTTCAAATCATCGGTTTGTCCACCCATCCATCCATCGACCATCGGTACATACCATGCAGACAGACACTCACACCCACCACCGGCCAGCCACGTATCAACACCCACACACACGCATCAGTTGCATGAAAGTGTCTCATCAATCAACGGCAGGCAGGCAGGCAGGCAGGCGTTTCTCGCCTCTATCTGAGCAGATCTGATCTGCATCGGACGTGTTCTCTTGTCCGTCAGCGCGTGTCGTGTGCGTGTGTGTGAGGCGCATCTGCTCATCACAGACACACACGACACACACGCACACAGCAGCAGCTCGGACAACAAAACACGAGGCAGCGATGCGTAGCTATGAGAATCCACACAGCCATTCGTGGGTATCGTATCTACGTCGGTCTGTTCTCAGAGAGAGGCGGGCTCTCTCTCTCGCTGCGGCATGCAGCTCCCACTTGGCTGTCTGTCTGTCTGTCTGTCTGTTTGCTGTCTGTATGTCATCTCCTCTCTGTCTGTCTGTGTGTGCGCGGGCTAATGTGCACATGGGTGCGCTAATGTGTGTGTGTGTGTGTATCTCGCTCGCTCAGCCAAAGCCATGCAATGCACACACGAACAGGGGGTGGGGTGGGGTGCTGTGGTGTGTTGTGTTTGCGGAGAAAGGAAAGAGTAAAACCGGTGGCGTGGCGTATCGTGTGTGTGTGTATATGACCCGCATCCCTGCCCGAGGCTACCCTACCTTCGACACATGCATCCATCCGTCCGTCCACACCATCCAATGCAATGCAATGCACACCATCCACGCCGCTGCCTCACTCACATCGCACACACGCATCCTGCCTGCTACCCCCACCCCTCCATCCACACCACACACGGCCACTCCCCCTCCCCCCATCCCCCGTATCATGGGCTGCCGTGTGTGTTCAGCAGCAGGATTTCTTCTTGAAGTTCTTCTTGCCCGGTGCGCCGGGGTACACGTAGGTGCCGGTGGCGGGGTCATACTGGGGGTAGGCGCCCGTCTGGTAGCCGCCCGCCTGGTAGGCGCCCGCCTGGTAGCCGCCAGCCTGGTACGGGTACGGGGTGAACGTCGTCGTGGCTGCACCACATCACACAACACACACACACAGATGTGTTGGGCGGATGCGGTGATGGTGCGGCGGCGTGGTGCGGTGGTGGTGATGGTGTGGTGGGGTGCGGTATGGTGTGGTATGGAATGGTGTGGGATGGGATGGGGTGTGACGTGGCTTACAGGGCGGGTACAAAGCCTGACCTGCGGTGCCGGTGGTGCCCGCCGCGGGAGGAGCGCCATATCCGTAGGACGCAGCCGGGTAGGCACCCATCTGGGCGTAGTAGGCAGCCGCGGGATCAACACCTGACCAACCACACACAAAAACAACCGCAAAAACGCATAGATCCACGCCTCACAGCCACATCAGTGTTTCCCCGTCCATCCGCCACCCCTCCCCGCCTTTTACCGTCAGATCTGGTGCACCCATCCCCCCCTTCCTCGCTCCCCTGCCCTCCCCTGCCTCCATGTGTGGCTTACTGGTAGACGCAGCGGCGTATCCTGCAGGCATTTGGTAGGTGGCCGGGGCGGCAGCGGCAGCGGCTTCGGTCGACATCGGCAACAACACGAATGCGAAGGGAAACGGTGCTCAAATCAGCGGTATCGAACTTTCAACAACCCGAAAGCGGCGAAACCCGTTTTTGATCTCGCTTCGGCCAGGAGAATCTGGGGGCTGATCTGGGGGCGTCTCGTATTGGGGGTTGCCGCAAGATGAAGGTATCGCAATCTCAGTTGGATTCGGGCACCTTGCCCCTGTTGAGCGACCAAGGAGACCGCGAAGAGGTCAGCGCCCGTCGCGCTCTTCTTGCCGTCATCGCAATTGTTCTGAATTCTCTCTGGAGGATGCCCCAAGACGGAGGGGCTTCAAGGTAGATGTCGGTGTGCATGGATCTGCTGGAGGCAAGGAGGCAGGCACGGGGTCTCCTGTCACGGCGCCCCGGACACCGTCCGGAAGTGCCACGGTCTCGCCTTCGGAACGCATCGTGGCGGCAGGTCAGGACATTTGCGGCAGATAAGGCCTCGCCCTGTCTGTGTGGCTGTGCAGCCCGTCAGGGGGACTCGACGATGCTCAGGACGTATCTCACCTCTTTCTCCCCCGAGGAAACACTTGACAAGGCAATTGACGAACACTGGCCCACTGATGGAGGTCACTTCTCGCCGTCTTTTTTCCTCCCTGTGTTCAGGACAAGTGCAATGCGCTGCACCTGCTCGCCAAGGCTGGGTTGCTGGAGCCCATTCTGCCGCTGTTGTCCGAGTGCCCCATTTGGCGAGAGGCCCTCTCACATCGCAACACTGTGAGCAACCTGTTGCCTGGAACATCTGTATGATCTCTGCCAAGACAACACATCTGGGTGGTGTGTGGTGATCAGGACCAAAATACCCCCCTGCACATGTGCAACTTCAACCTGATATCTCTGAAGCTCATCTCTGCGGCACGATCAGATGCCCTCCAAGTGTCCAACAAGGTAACACACGTGGCTTGTTGTCTGTGCGGGTGTGAAGGGAACTCACTTTGTGCGATGTCTGTGTGGTGCTGCAGGACGGCAACATCTTGTTGCACATGTCCGTATTGGCCAACACCTTGTCCGTGTCGGACAGAATCATCGACGTGGGCGGACTCGAACAGCTGGATATCAAGAACAAGGTCAGCGTGACAAGCCAACACACTCGAAGCCTCCCTTTCTGTCAGCACGGATTGACGCCCGTTGAGCTGGCAATCGTGCGTTCCAATGAAAAGCACTCCGCATCGGGAAGTGGGGCCTCTCATCCTGTAAGCAAGCAACACAGGCCATGGACAAAGAGAGGGCTTCAATCCTGTGTCTTGGTTCCTTTCCACTCTCAGGGCCACCATCAAGATGCTCCAATCGGACATCAGGCAAGTTGACATAGAGTGAAGGAATGTGCATTTCTCCTTTGGCTGTGTCATCCTCCTGTCAGCAAGTTCATCGTCATCTACCTGTTCATTCTGATGTCCTTTGCGGCGGCCTTCATGTCACTCTCATACGACCACGACCACTTTGGCACCTTTGAAAGGGCCATCCTCACTCTGTTCTACGCCGGACTTGGCGACTTCAAGGATCCGCTCGACAATGCGCTGGAAAATGACCTACAGTAGGTCAGAATGAAGTAGGTCGTGTCTTGCTGTGTGTGCATCTGACCCTTGCATGCCATGTGTGTATACCAGCTAGACACTTGACCAAGAGGCGCACACGTTGTGACTCCTATAAAGCCTTAAATTGGATTAATGCACACACTGTCAGTCCTTCAAACATCGCTGAACGAGTCCCACCCACCCCCATTCCCACCCATGCAGGCAGAACAGGCCGTCGAGCATGCAAAAACAGAGGTCGCTGCGGGTCGTGCGACTGGACTGGGTGGCGCCCGGGGCTTCTGTGTGAAGTCAAGTGCAGCTGTGAGCCCCTCTGTGTGTTTCACGTCCGTACTGATTTTGAGCCTGTAGTCGATTGTGGCATGGACGTCATTGTGATTCGTCCGCAACGCCGCCAATACCTGCAGGCAGGGACAACAGACAAGTGCAAACCTGTTGGTGGGGGTGGGATTGCTGACATCTTTGTCAGTCGACTTGGGGAAGACCGCCTGCACACGCTGCACATGGGTCATCTGGCTCAACTCGTCACTGACAGTCAGATCAACTACACACAGACAGACAGACAGACCCACACACAGACACACAGACAGAGAGAGAGACAGTGAGAGAGACAAACAGGCAACCTCGCTGGCAGGCAGACAGGCGGACAGAGATACCGGCACGGTCTGCACCTTTGACGTGCTTGGTGCGGACGGGGCGATCGCTGGGCGGTGGGCGTTTGGTCGGGAGTAGATCGGTGGTCCCAGTGGCCTCCATATGCTGGCAGACAAGGTGTCTGTCTGTGTCTCTGTCTGTCTGTTTGTCTGTGTCTCTCTGTATGCCTGTCTCTCGTCCTCTCTGCCTGTGCATACCACATCAGCATTCGAAGGGGCTGGCACACTCTCAGACACACAGACAGAGTTGAGGTCGTTGCACGGGTCACCCGTCGCCGACTGACTCACCTGACGGCGAACAGGTTGTCTGGGTGTCATGTCTGTCTCTGGTTGCGCGTGTCTCGTCGGGTCTCTCCCTCTGTCTCTCTTCCTGACTGTCATGTCATATATACGCTTACCATGCTTGCGACACTCCGGTCGAGATTTGCGATCATGCCATAGAGGGCGCTGTGTCTGTTTGTTTGTCTCATGGTGTGCAAACAAGCGAACAGTCACGAGAGCCGAGGTTGAACAAGCATCAAACAGGTGACAAATAGATCGATGTTTGTGTGTCAAATGTAAGTGTACGCATACATACACATGCATGTGCCTATTGACTGGACGTTAGTGACAGTCATTGACATACGGGCATTGAGTCAGTTGCGGCACGTGAACCGGTTTGACACGCAGGTATTGTGGCCCTGTAGCACTTGTCAGCAGGGCATCGAGCTGGGTGACAGTGAGTTGGGCGTCCAGCTGGTCCCAGAATGCCCTCATGGCCACACTGATCATCGTCTTCGTGATCCTGTTGGGCATCATACTGGTCAGGATGCAATCGAGCAAACACACTTCATTGACGAGAAATGTCTCTGTGTCCGTGTGTGCAGGTGAATCTTTTGATTGCCATCATGTCTTCCACCTATGCGACCATTGAGACGACCAGCGATGCGCAATACCAGATGCTGCGCATCAAGGTCCTCAATGCATTAGTACGTCAAGATGAGCCGAAGAGAGCGCCTTCCGCCACCCTTCAATATCATCGGTGAGTTGCGACACGGAGAAACATCATCCACCAACACAATGAACATGTGCCCTCCCTGCCCGGCTCTGAATGGTCAGGCCTGGTGCTGCTAGTACCTCTTCGCCCCGCGTGTGGCACAACACCGAGACAGAGTCCCTCAACGTCTCCTCCCAGCTCTTCTGCATGCTGTATAGCTTCCTGTACTGCGTCTTCTGGATGCCCTGCTGGATGCTCGTCATGCTCTACCATCTCATCGTGCTACATGACCTCTCAGCGGCCGTCATCCCCTTTGTCGGGCCCGCATGATCCTCAGACAGACCCAGGAGCAACTGAAAGCGGTAGGGGAGCAGGCCTTTTGTCATTTGTGAAGTCTCTTTGTGCGTTTTTGTTTGCAGGACATCGCCAGCACCAACAAGCAGCGTGTAGGAAAATGAGACACAACAAACACATCAGAGACGGAAAGACAGACACGGAAATGTGTCAGGGTCTGTACGCCAACCTTGATGCGGATGAGTTCCCCTGGTCAGAGAAGCTGGCCACATGGAGCGCTGCAGTCGAGTCACGATCAGCAGGAATACCCGATGTCATGGCCAGTGAGGAAGGGCACACACACACACGTGTATGTCTCTCCCTCCACCCCACCGATCTCCCTCTCTCCCCCTTTTTGTCTCCAGCTCTCCAGCGCAGCTTTGCCGAGGGCCACTCGGAGCTCACCACGATCAAGGAGGAGTTTCTGGAGGATCTTTGGAGTGACATGAAGGTGGTGAAGGAGCGGCTGGTGGCCTTTCTGGACAAGGCAGACCCTGAAGGGGCGACCGGACGAGTGAGGAGAGGCAGTGGGTCAGGCCAGCTGATGATGCGGGACGCTGCTGCAGCGAAGAAGGGCAAGTAGTGACGCGCGGCGTGGCGAGGAAAACGTTTTGGGCGTAGCGAGTTGAGTGGTGTCGTGTGCATGGTTCTTCGTAGCTAGCGATTGGTACAAATTTGTAGTGCTCATGAGCCGCGCACGTAGAAGGAGTAAGGTGAATGACAGACAAGGCGATTCATGCAGCGCTCTCTCAATCAATCGATCGATCTCAACTCCCTATAAACGGCGGAAAAAACACAAATCACACGCACACTAATTACTCGTCCGCATCCATCTGAGCCGTCTGCTCCTCGCCGCCACCCTCACCATCACCTGCAGCCACACACCACACCCAGCCACACACACACAAAACCGACAGACAGACAGACAGACACCATGTTTGTATGAGAGACCCACATACAGTGCATTGGAAGCCAAGCTGCCCGCTCCGCACCTTGGTTGTCGTTATCTTGGTCGTGTTCCTCTGGGTCTGGTGGGGCGTCTGCCTCGTCGGCCGCCTCATCCTCATCACCGCGCTGCTCGGGCTCATCCTGCTGCTCTCGCTCTTGCTCCTGCTCTTGCTCCAGCTCCTGTGGCGGCTCTAGCTCTTCTGGTGGCTCGTCAGGGATCTCGTCCTCCTCGCTCTCGACCTTCTTTTTGCGCTTCTTGCGGCGTTTCTTCTTCGGCGGCTCCTCGCCCTCCTGAAGGGTGGATCGATAGATACATGGATGGACATATGGATGGAATGTCACACACATACATACATACTGCAGGCAGGCCACGTACGCTGGTCACTCACCTCTCCGGCCTGAGTCTTGTCCTTTCGTTTCTTCCTTCGTGTCTTTTTCTTCTTGGCCTTCTCCTCGCCCTCGCCCTTTTCACCCTTGTCCTTGTCCTTGCGGCGCCTCTTCTTCTTGCGCGGCTTGGCGCCCTCCTCCTCAGCACGCACCACACCGCCCTCACCCTCCTCCTCGTTGGCACCTGTGTGGTGTGCGTGTGAGTGAACAGGGGACATACGAATGTGTGTGGGTCAGGGGGACGTGGGTTGAGGGACTGACCCACCTGGCAGCTGTTGTTCCTCCTCTTGCTCTTCCTCCTCTGCACGCTGACGCTTCCTGAACGATGGGAGAGAAAAAGAGGCACAGACAGATATGGCATTGGAACGGGCGGGCATCGCTTGGCTTGGCAGTGGGGTCTCTCTGTCTGTCACCCGTCCATCGCTCACTGACTTGGGTGCCTTAGTTTCCCAGGCTTCGGCGATCATCTCCCGCTGCAGCCGCTGGGCCTCGATGGTGTCGGCCTCAAGCTCCTGCTGCTTTCTCTGATAGGTTCATCCATTCATTCATTCATCCATCCACACCCTCCACGGATGCCCGGATTGTGCGGTGTGCGTACCCTCTCCTCCAGCTTCGCCCGCCGGTCTATCTCTGCCTGTCGTCTTCGTCTGTCGGCCGCCGTCTGGCGCGCCTCCTCGGCCGCCTGAAGGCACACACACACACACACACCACAGAGAGAATGGCGAGACGTCGGTGTTCTGTGGGTGCGGTCGCTGCCCTCCCCCGCCCGCCCGATCGCCTTACCTTTTTGGCCCTTTGGACGGTGTCCGGCCGCATGACTGCTCAGAAACATAGAAATAGTCGGAGGGGTATGTAGGCGTGAGAGAAATGTAAGTGTGCGTCAGTCAGAGTGGGTAGATGGGGGGGAGGGGGGAGCTCATGCCCTTACTGTTGAGCGAGTCGACGGCGTGCCTGGCCCCTCTGACCTTGCTGTCGAGGTCCGAAATGCTGCTGATGCTGTCCAGACCGACCGGATACTCTGACCCACACCCACGCACATCCACACCACACCACTCCCATCCACTCGCATCCACCCGAGCCCTCTCTGTTCCTTCCTACTTCGAGCAGTGATGTCAGCAATCCTCCTCTCGATGTGTGTGGCGTCCCCGCCCTCTCCGCGAGTGGCGTTGAGCCTCGCCTTCAGCTCCATCAGCTCTCGCCTCTCGTCGCGCTGCCTCTGCTTCATGGTCGACAGTGACTTGAACGTCGCCTCGGCGTGTCGGGCCTCGGCGATGAGACGGTCCAGGAGGGCGACGTTGGAGTGCTTGTTGATGTCCACAATATTGAGCGGGATGGATTCGGACTGGGCCAGACACTGAGAGAGGGGAAAGGGGAGGCGTGGATGTGTGGGTGGGTGTTGGTCGGTTGTGGGTGTGGTGTGTGGCTACGAGGTTGTATCTGAGAGAGGCGTCCCATGGCCAGATGGTGAGGGCCTTCTTGAGCACCGACACGGCCTCGTCGAAATACTGACCGTACACAGCAAGACCGGTGCGTGTGCGTGTGTGTCCACCCGCCCAGGCGCGCGCGCGTGTGTATTTTCTCATTACATGCATCTCGAAGTGAAGTCTTGCCAGCCACTGGTAGATCCTCACGTCATTCGGACACCGCCTCAGCGCCTTCTCATAGTGATTCTTGGCCTGACCACACACACACACACGAACACACAGACGTGTCAAGTTCACCCCACCCCCCTCCGTCTGTCTCCCCATTCTCACTCACCGTCATGTAGGTGTTCCTGTCGGCGTTCTGCCTCATGTGCGACCGCTCCGCCCCCTGCTTGCTCCGCTCCTCGTCGCTGAGCTTGGCTTTGCCAATCTTCCTGAAGAACTCCCTGTCCCTCTTCTCTGCCGAGTGCCAGCAGAGGGCGGCGTGCAGGTGCCCCAGGTTGACGTTGAGCGCGAAGTCCTCCTGGTCAGCGGGGGTGAGGGCGTGGCCGGACGGCCACTGGTGGCCTGTGTGGATGCTGGTGACGGTGGTGGTGGTCGAGTCACTTGTCGGGGGGAGGGTGGGGAGGGATGACTCTTGGAAGACTTGCAGCAGCTCCTTTGCCTGCATTTGCACGGAATGGTGATAATGATGGTGGGTGGTATGAGTGATGGACGGCGTGATAGTGCTATCATAGGGTTGGTCCACCCACCTGTTTGACGTAGTTGACTTCGCCCCAGTGGCAGGCCAGCCCCATGGTGGCGTGGAGGTTCTGCGGGTCGTACTCGAGGGCCATCTCGTACTGACGCCGCGACTCGTCCATGTGCCAACGATAATCCCTGTGGAAGCGAGAGTCACAGAACAGATCACCCCCCATGAGACAGCACACCCATGAGACCCACCCACCCCCCGGGGCACACGGACCTGAATTCCTTTTCCCTCCTCCTTTTGACGGCCAGCTCGTAGTTGAGCTGCCCCAGGAAGCAGTAGAGGTAGGCCTCCCCCTCCCCACCCCTGCTGCCACTCAGACTGTCGCCCTTCTTTCCACCGGCCTTGCCAGCCCGCTCGTCGTCCTCATGGTGCCTCAGCTGGTCCCGCAGCTTCTCCACCTCCTTCTTGGCCTCGCTCAGACGACCTTGCTTGCACAGAATGCGGGCCTGAGGGGGTGGTTTGGGAAGAGGACAGAGAGGTGAGGGGTGGGTGGTGTGGTTCTGGTGTGTTGGTTGGGAATGGCGTGCGTACGTATTGGAGGACGGCGTCGGTTCCTGTGTCGAGGGCAGTGTTCTTGACGGCCTTGTCCGCCTGGCTCTTGGCCAGCGTCAGATCGCCCTGCGGCGAATGAAAAGCAAGACACATTCAGTCCAGCTCCGCTTATCCCTCCTCCCTCCCTCCCTCCCTCCCTTGCTGACTGACATGACTGCCTCTTACTCACGCGTATGAGTGCCATGTGCGATCGTCTGAGCAGTGCGTCGACGTAGTGCGGGTAGCCGGGGTAGGCCCACGTGCCGTCTCTCTTCTTGCCGTCACCGTCGTTGACCTCTTTGTAGTACTTCTGCGCCTCACCGGGGCTGCCCAACGCCTCAAAGGTGCGGCCGAGATTGTACCGAACCGTCACCTGACCCCAAACATACACAACATTCCCTCCATCCCATGCACCTCTCTGCCCCCCCTCTCTCTCTCTGCCCTCCTCTGCCTGTCTGTCTCGATATATGTGTGTCTGACGGTACCAGCGCCGATTTGATCCTGGTCTCCTGCTCAATAGAGTCGAACCCGTCAGCCCTTTTCTTCTTGAGCACGCCCTCCGCCTCACGTAGCGCGTCCCTCGCCCCCTCAAAGTCGCCAGTGGCAAAGCGCAAGACCCCCACGTTGTTCCACACCTCAGGAGCGACCTCCAGACCACCACCCTGAGCACCCTGAGCACCCTGAGCACCCTGAGCACCAGCACCCCACTTGGCCGCCATCTGCTGGTTGAGGCGGTCAACGGCGCTCTGATGTTTCTCGTATGCGGTGAGCGCCGACTTGGCGAGAGAGAGCGAGGTGGTAGGGGAGGGCGTGTGTGGCATCAGGGGGGAGGGCAGGGGGGACCGGGGGCGCGCTGTCTTGATGGCGGATGGGAGAGTGGTTGAGGGGTCGTGCGACACCAGCAGGTCTTGGTAGAGATTCGCCTGTTTGATCGATCCGATCCATGGACACACACACACACACACACACATCATGTCTGTCGACACGGGTGCAAATGGAATGCGTGTGTGGGTATGTATATTTGTAGCGACCATCCATACATACCAGCATAAGCCAGGCCTCAGCGTCGTCAGGCTCCTGCTCAGTCAGCACCTCCATCTCGCCCACCAGCTCCCCCCGGCCCACCGTCCACTCGTGACGCGGCAACCTCTCCCCAACACACCCACGCAGCTTCTTCTCCTCAAGCACGATGCTCTTGTCCACGTAGGCCAGCCCCCCTTGCCCCCCATCACGCTTGGCACTAACGCGCATGGCCTTATGCCGCTCGCGGAACTCGTCAAGGGCGCGCTGGGCCTTCGACGCCTGCCGTGTCGCCAGGTAGGCTCGCGTGAGTGCCAGGAGGGCGGGGAGAGTCAGGGGGCTGGTGGGGGCGGTGAAAGAGACGGATGGGGCGGTCGAGTGGGAGCTGGCCGTGCTCTGCGCGCCGAGGAGGGCCTCGTACGCCTGAACCGCCTCTTTGAACTGGCCGGCCTCGTGGAACAGCCGGGCCCGCTGATAACTGCTCGACAGACAAAGGCAGATGGACAGAGAAATGAGTGAATGGGTGAAAATGTGTGTGTGTGTGTGTTGCCGGAGTACTGACTTGGCGTCGTTGATGATAGCCTTGGAGACCAGCCCCCCGCCCCCTGCACCGACCATTTTGTAGACCTCGCCCAAGAACCTGCTGCTGGTCTCCATCTCGCCACCCAGGTAGCAGTGGTCCGCCCACAGCACATAGAGCAGCGGCCGCACACTCCCGCCACCGTCACACCTTTCCCTGCTGCTGCTGCTGCTGCTGCCCTCGTTCTCAGCCTCGAGCACCAGCGCCTTGACGAGGCACTCCGCCTGTGACATGACCGACTTGTGGGGCGACTTGTCACGCTGCAGGATGGCCAAAGCCACCAGCGCGTCAGTGTTGCCGGGCTCCAGCTCTATCACACGCTGGAAGGCCTTCATCGCCAGATCGGTCAGGTTCAGACGGGCGGCCGCCACACCGAGACCGAAGCGCACGGCGGGCGGGCAGACGGGGTAGAAGCGCAGGACGGTCTGGTACTTCTTGAGGGCGTCGGCAGGTCGCCTGGAGGCGAGATCGCATGCAGCAGAGCCGAGGAGGGCGCGGGCATGATGGCGGTCGAGAGAGGGGGAGAGTGGGCCACCATCCCCGCTGTCCATCTGGGTCTCGCACGCCCGCCTGACGTCCTCGAAGGCGTGGCTGGCCTTGCTAAGGTACTCGTCCACTTTGGTCTTATTCAGCCCTTTGTCGCGGCTGGCCTTGTTGGGATCGGTCTCGCTGATTCGCATGGCCGTGAGCAGATCCCGGTATCCCTCGAGCAGCCGCAGCTGCTGCCGCCACGATGCCCTGGCCTGCTCGCTCTGGACGGCCTGCTCCATGTCCCCCGAGTGCTTCATCCAGTGGGACGCCTGGTGGACGGCCTTCTCCCGCACCCTGCTTACCGCACATCTGAGTGCCCGCTGCAGGTGGTACTCGGCCAGACAGCACGCCACCCTGACGGCCTCGGCGGACGCCTTCTCGTTCTCTGCGTTGGCGGAGCCTTTCTTGGGCAGCCGCTCGATGGCCTTGTGCAAGATGGCGAGGAAGAGGGCGTGGTGGCCTCGCGTGTAGCATTCCTGAGCCAGTGCGCGCCATGCGGCGATGTCGTGTGCATGACTTGACTCCAGGTGGGAGAGGATGGCTGGCAGGGACTCATCATTAATGTCGTCGAAGGGGAGGATGAGTGATGCTTGAGAGGGTGTAGATCCGTCGTCGCCATCGACGCGCAGAGAGATCGGCATCCCTGCTGCCCTCCCCTTTCCCCTCTGCAAGCCTAGCTCGCAAACAACTCCCGGCCCAAGGAGCCTTTCGCCACATTTGAAGAGCTTTTTCCACTTGAATCACTCCACGAGAGCATCCCGAACGTCATGAAGCCAACATACACGTTGATCTTCTGATAGATGATGAGCATTGCTTCTCCCTCCCCTCCCCCTCTCGGCCAGCCTGGCGCCTACGCCACGCACGCCGCAGCCGCACACACACCGGGAGAAGGCTATGACGCTTCGCCGTCATCGGACCTCCCGCCATCGTCTTCCCAGACGATTCCCCACTCGGCGTCGTGCAGCCACGATGGCGGCGGGAGCAGCCCTGAGAGCCGACAGTCCTACCAGACTCAAGTTGCCTTCAAGACCAGAAGCGAAATCCCGACAAAGAAAAGGTACACACACACACACGAGCCTGATACGCCACGCACACTAAGGGTATTGTGTTTGTTGGTTGGGTCGTTCAGCCATAGTTTGTCACACACACATCACTCCCCGCCGACCGCGCCCCCCATGTCTGCCCTGCGCTACGCCTCCTCGCCCGTCGGCGGCATGGCCGGCACCACCAGCGCCATCCCTCACTATGACTACAAGACCTTCATCAGCGAGAAGCACGCCGTCTCGATCAACGACCACTACACCTTCTTAGACGTACGGACCTACCTGGGCCGCAAGATAGATACCACAGGCACCCACTTACATGCAGTCTTGTGTGTGTATGTGTGTGGTGATTGATTGATTGCAGGATGGTCTGATTGGCGAGGGTGGGTACGGCTCAATTTTCCTGGCTCGGTCTAAGCTGAATCCCGGGCGCACAGTGGCCATCAAAAAGGTCGGTCGGTCGGTCGATTCGGCAAAGAAAGCTTGTGGCTGGCTGCATTGCATTTGTCTGTCTGGTGTTGTGTTATGTGCAGGTGTCTAAGAAGAAGGTGATGGCTGATCAGCTGGACACCTTCAAGCGGGAGGTGTCACTGATGAGGTCACTCGACCACCCAGCCATATGCAGGCTGCTCGAGGTGGGTCGGTGCGCTGGCGGTGGCGCGAGGGACGGACGGACGGACGGACGGAATCTGTCTCTGTCTGTGTCTCTGTGTGTGTGTGTGAAGGTGTTTGAGGATTTGGCCAACTTCTATTTAGTGCTCGAGTACTGCGAGGGCGGGGAGCTTTTCCAGAGAATCGTCGAGGAGAAGCACCTCAGGTAGGGTAGGCGAACAGCTGCATCCCATGCATTGGCCCATACATCCATCCATCCCACCCATCGGCTCACCGGTCCATCCATCCCGTGTGTGTCATGACATGTTTGCAGTGAGCGGACGGCGGCTGCCATCATCAAGCAGGTGGCCTCGGCGCTGCTGTACTGCCACCAGAGGGGCATCGCACACAGGGACATGAAGCCCGAGAACATCGTCTTCCTTACGAAGGCGCCAGAGTCGCCCATCAAGATCATCGACTTTGGCTTCGGCACCAAGTTCCGCCCTGTCCTGCGACAGCAAGTGGTGCCGCACCCATTCAGACAGGTGTGAACCCTCGCCCCGCCCACACCGATCCAACACACACATCCATCCACCATCTGATCTGATCAGTGTCCATCTGATCTGGTCCCTCAGGTGCGTCACAACGGCCGTCATCGTGCGAAATCCGGGTCGAGCGATGAATGTGGTGGTGAGGACGGCGACACTGAGGAGGCGGGCGAGGGGGGCGATAGTGACGACAGCGGGCGGATGCCGCCTGCGCTGATGAAGACGCGGATAGGGTCGCTCATGTACGTGGCGCCCGAGGTGCTCGCCGGGTACCCCTATGACGAGAAATGCGATATGTGGTCACTGGGTAAGTGCTGTGTGTAAGTCACTGGGTGGATGGGCATACTGCCATGTGTGCGCGTGTGTGTCAGGTGTGGTGCTATTTGTGATGCTGAGTGGTCAGCCGCCTTTTTTCGGTCAGGGAGTGGTGCAGAAGATTCTCAATGGCGACTACTCTATGACACGTGAGGCAGGGAGGGAGGGAGGATGCATGGAAGAACTCAGTCGTCGAGAGGACGGGCATTGTCCTGTGCGCGTGCAGATGGTGTGTGGCGTCAGATCAGCCCGGAGGCCCGACAGCTCGTCAGCAAACTGCTCGTCGTCGATCCCAAGAAACGTAACCCTCCTACACCACCCACCCTCCCGCACAGACATATGTACCCTCTGTGCTGGTGTCCGGTTCATGTGATGCACGTGTGCAGGGTACACAGCTGAGGAGGTGCTCAAGCACCCCTGGGTGGCCTACCACCAGGGGGCCCACCACGCGTCCATCCCGGCAGAGCTGCTGACCAACCTGCGGCGGTACTGCAGGGTCAACCAGTTCAGACGGATGGCCGTCGCTGCTGTCGCACGACAGCTGGTACGCTGCGCCGGGGACAAAGAGGCAGAGACAAGCGTTGTATGTTTGGCATGGATGGATGGATGGATGTGTTGCAATCAGGACGACAACCACATTGGTCATCTGCACGATGTGTTTGTGGAGCTTGACACCAATGGAGACGGCGTGCTCTCGCTGCAGGAGATGAAGCAGGGTAAGGTCGGTGCACCGGAATGAATCGATCGGCGTCTGCGTGTTGGTTGTATTGTGTGCTGTGTGTGTGTGGGGCATATATGTGCAGGTTTCCAGAAGCTGTGTGACCGTGGTCTGCTGACCAATGAAGACATTGAGGAGTGGTTCCAGGACATGGTAGCTAGCCCATACAGACAGACAGACAGACAGAGACACGTGGGCTCTCGTGTGGTGTGGCCTGGGTCCTACAGGATTTGGATAACTCAGGCTTCATCGACTACACCGAGTTCATCGCTGCCTCGATTGACAAACGGTACACACACTCCGACACACTCACACCGAGACACACACACGGAAGGAAGAACACAATACATACCTCTGTGTTGGTTGGTCGGTGAGTGCAGTCAAGCGTGTCAGCGTGACGTGTGTTGGTCGGCGTTTCGTGTGTTTGATCGTGAGGGCAAGGGCAAGATATCGGTGCAGCAGCTGGCAGACGTCCTTCTCGATGCGGACGTCCAGGGGCTGTTCGGGGACGAGTTCTGCCAACAGATGCTCAACTACTTCGACAGAAACCGTACGCACCCAGACCACATACACACACACACACACCACAAGCTCTGTGGATCGGTCCATTTATCTGTCTCCCTCCCTCCCTCCCTCCCTCTCCCTCTGGTCCTCTTCTCTCTCTCTCTGTGTGTGCAGATGACGGCTTCATCGACTTCCAGGACTTCATGACCAGTACGCTCTCACACACACGCTCACACCCTCCCCCCATTGTCCGCCCACCAACACACCGTTCTCCTGCCTCTCTCTGTTGCCATGGTATGTCCATCAGTCATGTCGTCGTACGGCCCCCGTCGGTCCCGGTCCGGTGTGGAGATCCGCGGCTTCCAGCTCGCCGAGCTTGACGAGGACGAGATGATGGACGACGAGGAGCAGGCTGTGGGCGGCAAGCAGCGGGTTGGGGGCGTGTGTGTGGTGCACCCTCCAGCAGAGGGGGATGCCGACACCGACTTCCTCGGCGGATACAGACCCGCAAATGCTACCGGTGAGGGTGGGCGTGTGGTGTGTTGAGTGTCCTGCCGGCTCACTGTGTCTGTGTCTGTGTGTGTGCGTGTGTGTGTCATCAGAGTCTCCCAGTTCGCTGACCCCACAGGCTCCCCCCTGTGGCCGCCCCCGCGGGTCGAGCGCCATACCCCCGATAACCGTCACACACCATTCACAAACACCATCGCCACAAGTAAGCCGCTTGACACAGACGGCTGCGTGCATTGTGTGGGGGTGGGTGTAGGAGCCGGCCAGTCGTGTGTGTTCGCCGACTTTGACGAGCGTCAATGTGATGAGACGCCGGCGGGATCGGGGCAAGGGGGCCATCAAGAGAGCCTTCTCGCTGGGCTGACTGACCACATACCCGTTGGTTTTCTCCTTATCAGATCAGAGCAGTCAGTATCTGTCGTTGTTTATCCATCAGTTTTGGGCTTTGGGTGTTGGTCTGTGTGTGTGCGGTGTGTGTATGTATTGGGTTATCGTTCAATCCGTTGCTTGCTTGGTTGGTTGAGTGTTAGAGGGAGAGGGAGAGAGAGAGATGCATGCCGCCGTAGCGGCGGGCGCACATGTACAATGGCATGCGCATGGAATGGATGTCTGTTCGTCGACACACCATGATTGTACACTGACAGCCACGCCGTCCTCAATCAATGCTTGAACACACGACGCGCAGGAAAATGTGTGGCAAAGGCCTTCTGATATAAAATGTAGACAGCGATAAAATCTATCTGATCTGATCATCTGCATCGGACGTGTCCTCTTGTCCGTCAGCGCGTGTGCGTGTGTGAGAGGCGCATCCGCTCATCACAGACACACACGACACACGACACAGCAGCAGCTCGGACAAAACAAGAGGCAGCGATGCGTGCGTAGCTAGCTATGGGAATCAATCCACACACACAGCCATTCATTCATGAGTATCGATCGTTTATACGTCGGTCTGTTCTCCAGAGAGGGAAGGAAGGCTGGCTCTCTCGCTGCGGCATGCAGCTCCCTCCCACTTGGCTGTCTGTATGTGTGCTGTCTGCTGTCAGTACATTATCTCCTCTCTGTCTGTGTGCAGGTGGGCACATTGCATTCGACTGGCTAATCTGCACATGGGTGCGCCAATGTAATGGGTGTGTATGTGTGTATCTATCTCGCTCGCTCAGCCAGGCTCATGCACACACATTCAAAACAAGAGACGGCAGAATATAAAATGTAGGCAGCGACATCCCCCCACCCCTGGCTCTGCCAGTAGAGCCGATCCTTGAGCTGCTGGATCCGCTCTTCCAGGTCCTCCTCGCTGACGCCATATGAGCGGCGGAGGTGTGACTCGGCCGCCTCGGTGACCCTGCCCTGCGTCTCCAGCAGCTCCCTGATGCGTGGCTCGCATCGGTCCAGCGTCTCCTCGACGGTGGTGGTGGTGGGCGGCGGCTGAGCTGCTCCAGCAGTTGCCAAGAAGGCCGGGATGTGGACCTCTGGGCATGCTGGCAGGGCGGTGTGACGCTGCGGGCGGCGGGGTCGTTTGCGGCGGCGGGGGGATTGTCGGGGCGACGAGGGCCGCTGATTGCTGGGGCGGGGGCTTCGGACGAGGTGACGTGTACCCTGTGTGAGACACAAGCGCAAGGGACATTCAATGGACGTATGCATCGATCGATGTATGCCTGCATCCTCCTCACCAAATGATGTGAGACCAGTATATGCTTACGTCTTCTCCCGCTGCGTCCGCTTGTCGGCGATCTCCTTGTTCTCCATCGTCGTCTGCGTCGCCTCTTTCAGCTTCTGCTCTAGCATATCGACCTGGCACACAACCACTCAACCAGCCCCCAGCCATCCAGCCATCCAGCCATCTAGCCATTGGTTGATTACAGTAACAGGCATCTTCAATGGTTCTTCACCTGTTCCCGCAGCCTCTCGACCTGTTAGCGGCAGTGAGTTGGCAGCGAGATGCATCCAGATGGAATCAACTCACTCAGTCACTCACCTCTGCCCTTTGCTCCTTGTCACGTTGAACCGCATAGAGGTTCTTGAAGAAAACCGCGTCGAAACGCCCTAGTGTCACGAGAAAGGGCCCCTGCATTCGTGTCTCCCTCCCTCCCTCTGTCTGTCTGTCTGTCTGTCCGTCTCTGTCCTTACCGTGCAGGAAGTCAACCTCCTCCTTGTGCTCTTCGCTGTCGTGTCGACATTCGAGGAACCATGGGTGGTTTAGCGCTTGTTCGGCTGCATAGAAGATAGACGCACATACAACAACAGACACCATCTCTATATTGTTGTATGTGACCTGTGGGGCGGTTGAGCGGGTCCCACTCGAGCAGCCACTGTGTCAGCTCCCAGGCAAGTGGAAATGTGGTGTCGTCGCCCCCCTGGAGTGCAGCGAAGAGCCAGGTCCTTTGCGCCCTGCAGCATAAAAGGAGGAGAGAGACACAACTGAGTTTCAATCAACATATATGCAGTGTGTAGGCCTGTCTGCTGCACTGTGCGGCGTACTTACAAACGTGCCCCGTGACTGTTGGCCTTTGATGCCCGCCTCTCTGGTGGCGCATCACATCGGACGCCAACCGATCAGAGCCGCACGCGGACACTCCAGACAAGAGACCGCAGGATATAAAATGTAGGCAGCGATATGATGGCGACACCGCACACTCTCATTCTTGTCCGTTTGGCCTGCAGTCAAACACATTCAGGTATAGCGAAGGAAAGCGTGTCTTGGTGTCGTGTGTGTATGATGCGTTCGTGCCTCGCATGCCTTGTGTGTGGGGGTGGCGGTGTTGTGTGTGCTGCATGATGGAGATGTTGGTGGCTCCTCCCACACCCACAGTGTCACCATCACCTGAACCATCACACATCGGCAGGCAAACGGCAGGCAAATGGAGAATGAATGAATGGCAAGCAAGGGCCGGTGGATGTGATGTAAGCTGCTCTGCTGCCTGTCCAGGTTGGTCGGCACCTTTCTGGTTGTCTTCTTGATGCTGCTCCACTTGTAGGTCGCCATCCTCGGTGTCGTCGACAGCCGGCACATCAGGGGCTACCGGTGCTTGTGGCTGTGGTGGGGGGAGTGCTGCGTGGGTGACCGGTGGTCCAGCGGGGCTTCGGTGAGCGGAGGCGCCGTGCGTCGTGGTGGTGGTGGTGGCTGTGGCTGTGGGTGTGGGTGTCTCTGCAGCAGGGAAGCCCGGGAAGAGCGGTGCAGAGTCGTGAACTCGGCCACATGAGGCGACTCAGCTACCACCGATTTGGAACACACAATCACTATGCACGTCCTTCCTTTGTGTTGTCCTTTCTGCCCAGATACTTCCTTACTGTACCTACCTGTATGTCGACCACCACAGAGCGACAAGCTCGTTGTCCCACCCTCGTTGACAGGTCCCGACCGTCCTGACAAACAAGCACGCAGCAACCACAAGCAAGACGCAAGCAAACACGTCCACCCGATCTTCCCTCGAACCAAGCACTGATGTCCTCCCCACCGTTCCAATACGCTGGCAGGTCGAGCAGATTCATTCCAAACGTGAATGCGGTGGGATGTGCTGCACATGAGCAGAAAAGAGAACCAGATCAGACCACCATCAGAGACAGAGAGAGGGCAGGCGCATCGCATGTGTGGCCGTCTTGTGTGGTGCTATGTGGCTTCAGGCACCTGCAGCGATGATCGATTTGGCTTTCTTGGCCCGAGCAATCAAGTCGGACACCTTCTCGACTGCATCCAAGATGAGGGCGTGGCTCTTCTCAAACTTGACAACCTGCACCACACACATCCACTCGCACCGAACAGCCGTCCATCCATCCATCATTCCTATGTGCGTGCGTGCGCATGCGCTCACGACGTCATTGAGTTGCAGGGGGTCGAGGCCCGTGAACGGGCTGCCGGGAGTCGACAGGGGGCTGCCGACGGGGTTCGACAGCTTCATGGCCGTCAGCCGCTTGTTCTCGATCTCCTGCAGCCGTGCATCCAGATCGGTCGCCCCCAAACACACCCACAACACACTCAGCACCCACATTGCGTGTGAGCGTGTGTGTGTGTGTGTGTTGAGTGATTCACTCACCATTCTACACACTTGTGAGTAGTTCTTGATGGCGAAGATGGCCTTTGCTTTGGCGCCCTGCTCGTCGGACTCTGTCACACACAAGACACACACATGACCTCACCCCAGGTACCGCAGCCGTCTCTGCGCCTCCTGAAAGGCGCGGCGCCGGTCGTCGTCTTGGTCTTGGTCCCTGTTAATGCCCACCCACAGACACACACATATGATGGATGGCTGCACACGATAGCCTCCTTGGCTGCGGGGCATACGTGGTGGTTGGGGGCGATGGCTTTTGCATGCGCTGCAGGTGCTTGTTAAACCTGGCTTCTTCCCTGCACAATGACACACACGAAACGGATGTGCTGTGTCGGGACGTACTCCTGGATGTCCTCTTCTGGTGCGTCGGGCAGATTGAAGGCGGTAGTCGTCGAGAACAGGACATCGTTCTCCAGCCTGCACGTCGCGGCGTCGCAGTGTCACAGTGTGTCTGTTGGCTTCTGCCGTCTCACCTGGCGATCTTCTTCTGCAACTTCCTGTCAGACCAAAGACAAGAAAGCCATCATTTGAGGCATCCATATGTGCTCATTCCTCTCTCTCTGCATCTTCCTGTCTCACTCTGGGTCTTCGACCTCAACCTGCCACGTACACAGAGCCAAGCGACACATGCATTCGTTCGTGGCAGCCAATTGCTCGCCCCACCTGTCACATTCTTGTTCTGCGAACTCTGTGAGCTTGCGTACATCCTCCGGGAGCTTCAATCGGAGGTAGCTGTCACACACACACACACACACACACATATACACACGTGCGCACCAATGGTGACTTACCTTGAGTCGTTTTTAATCGATGGGCCGGGTGATGCAGGGAAGAGCCTGTCGGGGTGAGGGGAAATACCCTGACGCGGAGGCTGGCCGCTGGTTCCCCTGCCCCCGCCCACGCCCCCACTTCCGTCGCCCAGCGCGATTGACGAATGGCCCCGCGAACGACCATACCCCCTGCCCCGATGTGTGGCTGACGACATGGCGCCGAGCGACGTGCCACGTACACGTGTGTGTGTATGTGTATGTGGTGGGGGGGAGGGGGGAGGGGGGCAAATACTGACCTTGAACTTTGCTGCGTCGCTGGCTATCCACTGAGGGAGTGGCCTGGGTGCCGATGGACCAGCGCCAGTATCCCCAGCAGCGCCACTTGCCCCAGCTGCGCCAGCAGCCGCACTGTACATGGATTCCTCTGCCGGGCAACAACACGAGTGAGAATGGGCAGTGTAATGCGTCCTTTGGTACCTCCTCACCCTCATCTATCGGTTGGAGCTCCTCACCCTCCTCACCCTCATCTATCGGCCGGAGCTGCATCGACACCCTGCAGACAGAAAATGCATGGATAGATCTCATCCCATGCCATGCCATCGAGTTGCCACGCCACGCCCGTACCCACCTCTCCTCTCCATCTTGATCTCTCCTCTCCATCGCGCTCATCGACGACAGAGGGCAGCAGCAAACCGATGTGAGTGCACTAGAGTGACGGTAAGAGCAATGAAATGCGGCAGGAACGCCCCTGCGTGTCGATGGTCTATCGCGAGAGGTGAAAGAAAGGCCTAGGACTCCGTCAGGAATGCACCGTCTTTCTCGCTATGGGTTCCGATGCGGGTTCTCCACCGCGCGAACAATACCAACGCGGCAGGCTGGCCTGGAGGCTGAGCAGGGCTACAAGTCTGACAGATGGTGGTCTGAGAAGGGCTCCGAGAAACCCAGCTGCCAGCGGCGCCGGCGCCAGCGACGAGGAGGGGATCAGATAGAAAAACAGGGCGTGTGGATGGCATAAAAAATATGCTCCGAATTGCGAAGATAAGTCTAATGATTTGTGCCGTCTCAAATCTCGCCGTCTCGCCACTACCCGACAAGGTGCGGCGAAAAGCTGGATGTCCAGCCGGAAAGCTGAGAGGAGGCGGGGAAAGCTAGCTAGGCCCACAGAAGGCTAGCTAAGCCCGCGGAAAGCCAGCCAGCCACCCGGAAAGCTGGCCAGACCACCCGGAAAGCTGGCCTTCCAGGCCTCCCTGTCAGCTTGCCAGCCGGAAAGCTGGCTGTCCCGCCCTCCTGTGTGCTCAGAGGGCGGAAAGCTGGCCTTCTTCACTGATGCGAAGGCCTCCACGGACAGCCCTGCGACTCTCTTCATGAGTCATTGACTGTCAGTGAATGAATGCCATGCATTGGCTCCATCGGTCCAAAACACACTCGCACACGCACACTCACAAGCAGAACCCATCAATGAATGAATGGATGGATGGATGGATGGACGGCACCAACACTCAACCACACTGATATCTCACTCACTCACTCAATCACTCACTCACTCACTCCATCACTTGCTGCCATCCATCCATCCATGCATCCATCCACCCACTCACGTGTGGTGCACTCTCTCTCACACACAGACCGAAGAGAGAGAGAGAGAGAGAGAGAGAGTGACGGGCAGAGCTATATCAACAGTCATTGCGTTGGTCACATGTACTCTCCTGATGGCCAGAGAGATGTGTTTTGCCTTCTCGAGTTCTCTAATTCAAGGGATGGCCATAAATCACAAATCCCTCGGTTAGAAGTGTCAAGCATGATGCCTGCATCACACTCTGAACCGTGATGAGTTATTCGTGTTTTTCTGGACAAGCCCTACAATTACGTACGATCACTAAATCGGTTATATCTGCAGAAGAACCATACAAACCAGACCTGCTTTGTGAGGTCCGTCATTCGTACCCGACGGATTTCTGATTGTGTGTCTCGTTGCAGAGAAACGAAGGTCAGAAGGCCTCACTCATTTTCTAATGGATGTCTACGGGGATATCTTCACTCGGTTGAGACATGGAATCAAGCAAATGACCTGACATTGTAAGGCAGTCAAAGACGCTTCACATGCACTCAGTGACACTGTGTCTCTGTGTCTCCTTGCTTGTCTGTGTCAGTCATTGGTGTGTGTCTCGTTGCTCGCCAGCGTGCTGCTATGGCCCCACCATCCCTGCATTCAATTGAT